AAAAAAAGGTAAAAGCCGGTGACTACTACGGACTTGGGCAACGTTTACGACTTAATACGGTCCTTGCTGGCTTGCTACTACTACTGCTTTTGCTACTTTGTCTCCCTGCCAAAGAGCTAAGGTGTAAGAGTATGTGGTGCTACTTTCTCTAGCTCCGAGTCTTAGAGAGGGCCGCTATACTGTTTTGGAAACCGGATTGGTCGGGGTGAGTTTTTGTTTTTTTGGGGCCTTTGGGATAAAGTGAATCCTGATTTGCGTTGTTCCGGCGTCAGATTTGTCGATCTACGATCTGCCTGCCCTCCTCTGTTTGATACGGGGTGGGGGGGAAGAGAGAGGGGAGCGTTTACAGGTAAGGCGAGATAGGTAAGGCAGCTACTAAGGCAGGCAAGCTTGTGTGGATCAGGACATTTGTTTTCTCATTTTCATATACTATCTGCCTAGTACGCCTGCACTCGTGACGTTGCGGGGCTGCAGTAGTTAGTGTACAGCTTGCGGAAAAACAAAGAGAAAACGAAGAAGGACTGGGACTTTGAGCTACAGTACGTGTTTTTGTTGAAAGGGCGGTTTCGAATCGCTTACAGCGGGTGGCTAAGAGGTGTCCATGCTAGTACGGTATGTTTAGGTTTGGGGGCCAGGGGGACGCTACTTTTTTCCTTGCTGCAGCAGCGGCTTTTGATCTTGTGATAGGACGGAAAGGCAGCAATGATAAAGCGCGTTTCTGTTTTAGCCGGGATTCTCTTCTTTGTAAGTCTCCACCAGCTCATAGGTACCAAGAGAGAACGAGGCAAGCAGAGAAAATGCGGAGCAAGACAGATAAAACATCTGGAGTATCTCGTGCTTAAAGGGCTGTTTTTTTTGTTAGGCGCTAAAGACGAAGTTGCAGGTTGAAGTTTAAGAACACGCCAGATTCGCTATGCGACTTCTCATATTTCTCTTTTTTGGCGAGCGAGGATTAAATCCCGTTGGGTTTTTTCTCGTTTACGCGCTGCACCGTCGATTGGACGCCGAAAGGTGGTTCCACCGAATTAGGCAATTTTCGAGATGTGGGTCTGGCTTGTGATTCCCAGTATCCTGGGCCGTGGAGGCAGATGCAGCATGTATGTATGTACAGTAATTAACAGTAGAGGGATGTGGGATGTTTTTGTTTTTTAAAGGGTGGAGAAGGGGGAAATGCTTTGGCGCTGCTCTCTGTTTTTGAGGACAGCTCTTTTGCTGTAGCTTATTCGGTGGATAAGGACGAATGGTGATTATGCCTCCCATTGGTGTCAACCACTAGTCGTACGCGTCTCCTCCACGGGCGTTGCAGCTTTTTTTTGCCTCTCTTCTCTGATCCTATGGTTTTTTCGCTGCGCCTGAAATTGCTGGAGCCCCCAGCACAAAAAAAAGGCGGCGGAAAACTTGTTAGCAAAAGCCGGACTTACGACTAGAGTAGCGCGCAGGCACCGCCCTATTAGATTAGCTCTTTGCTTGTGCAAATGAAAACATTGCCAGAGATTTCGTCGCTCTAGTCTGAGGCAATTTGTTCTCCGCGCCAGCTAATCGGATTATCTGGAACCGCGTCCATGGACCAGTGCGCGCGGATTGAGTTCAGGTTTAGTCTCCAGTTGCCGGGTAGCATAGTTTCATGTTTCCCAGTTATTTGTTGTCGGGGCGGGTTTCCACTTGGGAAGCGCGGAATATAGCCCAATCGCGACTGCTGGAGGACGATTTGTTGTTTTTCTTCCTTCTTCCAATGCGGCTCTAAATGTGTATTTTAAGCCAACCACCTTCTTTTGTTGTTTACATCCATCTCACCTCATCTGGCATAGAGAGCAACGGTATAAATAGCATCAAGTACAGTATGTACTAGGCGGGGTGTGCTCAGGATAAGATTGACGCCTGGCTGTCAGCAACACACAGCTTCAACAAAGGGCGCACGATCCGCGAATCAGAGGCTCCGCACGTTCTTAATAATCAGGGCAAGGTTTGATGGCTTGGGCGCAGAACCCCATCACGTTTTGTGGCGCAGACCTGACGTTTACCTTACTTTTGTTCCGTTTGTTGAGGGGGAGGCAGTTTAAGGAAAAAAGAGCGAGGAGAAAAACATACGCCCCTTTATTTTTATGAAATGGAGGGAGGGAAAAATTGCTCAGTTTGAGAGTCCTTTTGGAAATACTCGTAACAGTGGCTCCTGGTCTCTCCCCCCGGTACTTGGCGCTCAGGTAGGACGAATATTGAATGTCGGAGCTTGTTGAATACGGAGGCCGGCGATGCGACCCTGAAGGTTTTCCTGCAATCGGCACCGTGCTACCGGTCGTAGTGGCGAGAAGACATGTAAATCAAGTGACTGAGCCACGCGTCGACGTCAAAAGGGCTTGAGAAATACGAACATGATCGTCACGACATACGAGTACGACGATGTTCTGTCAACTGTCCCTTTTGAAGGGAGTCCAAGAAGGATACCAAGAAGGATATACGGCACAGGCCGCGCACTCTCTGGGGTTTTCAAAGCCTCTATCCGACTAGCCGTCTTGTCGCTGTGCCGGCGCGAAAGCACTTATGGGGTGCTTGTGCATACTTGTACTCCGTGTATGGAATATATGTTTTTATAAATAATATTGGCAATGGCAGTGCAGTGCTGGGAGGGGACAGCCCACGTGTTGAGGCTGTGATACGATGCCTTTGCGCTCGAGTGGTGAGCTTGCAACAGCAACCCCGGCGCTTCGTCTTCTCGAAGGGCATGGATCCTGGCGAGCGGCGCTGGTGGTAGTGAGTACCGAGCAATACTACCTTCGGTTAGTAGTTGCACGCTTGGATCTCAACTCAATCAGAACAAAAGAGTTCGCAAGGAAGATGAAAAATAACCAGCCAGATTGGCGCAGGCCGTGGGTATTAATCTCCTTTTCTTTCTAGAATTTCCACGGACTAAGTGCCAGCATCAGCCCCCTTTGATCTGAGCATCAGTGCGCGTACAAGCCCCGGCAGGGTCTGGCACGTATTTCATTAGGGCCTCGTATGTTCAAGATGCAAATCTGCGCACCATGTTGTGTGAGGGCCGGGGGCTGACGTTGGGAGGTGCAGCAGGCGGAGAATGAGGGAGATCCTGATTTTAAGGCCCGACCAGGGAATCTCCTGACCAGGCGGGGTGCATTTTTGGCGTAAGTACACGGCTGGTCATGGGTACATGTACATGCCATGTTCCAACAGGTACGGGGCTGCTTCAGCTGGACCCTGATTGCGCCTGAGGAGCTGCCAGAAGGAACGTGGCACAGCTCTGGAAGCAGGTACTGGCTGGACGAGGCCCTGCACGGGGGCACCTGAGGTTACATGTACATGCTGCCAGGCCCCTGGGACGGTTTTACCTTGGGATTGCGAACAATGCACGTCCGTATTGTCTTGCACCTACCGGACCTGTACGAGCGGATGAACTGTCTGTCTGGTAGGTACGACATACGGAATACGGATGCCGAGCGCGAGCCCAGCATGCATTGATCTAGGGCAGATATTATTACTACCAACCAAGTAATCCATTCAATGTCAGCTCAGCAATTTCGTAGTGCTGGACGGCGTAATATACCTCCATCCAACCTCCATACTGTAAGGACTTCGGGAGGTAACCAGTCCAGCGTACCAACAGCTACATGTATGTACTTGGATATTTCAGCAACATAGAAAATACTGTACCTGTTCTGGTCCTCATGGCGTCATTTGCACTGCGGGCGTGTGAATCCGTCAAATGCTTATTTTTGTGCCAGCCATGGAACAAGCCACCACCTCGCCCTTCAAGCTTCGCCTTGTACCTCCTACCGCTCTGGTACACCGACAACATGCATCATAGAGATGGATTGATGGAGCGGGAGTACGGAGTAGATACAGTCATGTACTGTGCTGCAGTTACAGACTTACAGTACGGCAGGAACGCGGCAGAGGCCACGGGCTGCTGCTCATTTGCTGCTCAGCTGCCTAGTCCACGCCTAGTCACCTAGTGCAACCACGACTTTTTTTTTCTCTCCGAATCATGGCGCACAAATGTGAGCATCATGGCCCATTAACGCACCCCTGAGCAGGACCGTGTGTCCCACCAGGCGGACCCTATTTGACATCCATGGATCAAAAATAGCGACGCAGGGAGTGGGCCGTCTCCGAGATGTGCGCGCTGGGGTTCCTGACAATGGGGCAAATTCAGGTGCTGCAGCCCTCTGGCTTGTGGCCCTACTAACTACTAACTGAGCCCATCAGCTGCAGGTGCTGATGACGGGCAAACAGCCGCTCATGATATACCCCGAATCGTCGTCGTCTCAGCGGAGGCCCCATCGTGCCAAATCAACACGGCGTCTGTTCTGCTCTCTGCTCTCTACTCGGCCTGGTATATATATCTACTCGTACCAACGGCACCGGCTGGGCTGTCGTCGTCGTCCTCCCCCCCAAGCACGCACGTCAATACGAAGACAAGGGCCAGTCACTAGTAAGCGATGAGACACGATTCCACAGGAACTGCTCCCTGTCCCTGCTGAGGCACCCAAAAAAAGGTCTCCCCTTTGCCGAGAGAAAAAAAAAAACGTCATCGGGTCTCCACCAAGTAGCCTCAAGCCCCGTCGCTCACCTCGATCCAGACACCACGAGAGTCAGTAATCGTCGTCGACAGAAAACGCCGTTCCGCACGCCTCTCCGGACTTTGTTTGCTCTGCGCCCCCGGGAGCAGTCGACTTTCTTTCCGCCGTCTTTACCGAGAGAATCTCACTAGGGACCTCCTCTTTGGCCGTTCGGGACTGATCCTATCCACACAGGGGGCGTGAGCTTTCCGAGATCCAATCCTCCTCCTGTACGTACTGTGCTGTTGTGGACTGCCCTGCCGCAGCTCAGCATTCTGCCACGCTCAGCTTTGCTCGACAAATCGAAATCCACTTGACCGATCCACTTGACGTTGTTCGCTCGATATATACAAGAGCCCCCCCTCTGCTGATTCTGGTACGTACGTAGCAAGCTGCTTGCTGCGGACGGACAGGTCATATCAGCCCAATATGACTTCCAGTAAGTCCCTTCGAGCCACTCTTCTACCCTCTCTTTCCTTCCGATCCCATTCGCAAAATGGCCCCGAATTGAAACCGAAATCCGATTCCGACTCGTCTGTTCGAAAGGCCCTTCGCGACAATGGCCAGCCCCCGGCCGACGGGCCGCAAAAGATCTTGGAGCCCATCGTCGAGGGGAGCTCCGATCCGGAACCGCCTTCAACCAGACCACGGGCCAAATCGAAGGCTAAACCTTGGAGCACTCGAATCTCATCCTTGATTCCGTCGCTTACAATCCAAACCACAGACCCCCGTCCCATGTCTATTCAGAGGAAGCCCATCACCGGCATGGCGCCTCCATCACAACCACCGCCACCACCACCACCAGCAGCGCCCCCTGTTGCTTCGCTCGATCCTCCTGCTGATTCCATCCATTATTCTCCTGCTGATTCTTTCGACGCTCCTCCTGCGCCTTTCGATCCTCCTCCTCCACCCCCCTCGGGGCCTCCACCACCACCTCCTCCGCAGCCGCCATTGTACTCGGTGGCCGAGTCAACAAGCTCCTCTAGTTTGACTGGCGATAGTCCAACTCTTTTTGAATCAGACCACCAGCACTCTGATACATCGTCTTTTCCACCTCCGCAACATAGTCCTCCGACACCTCCAAAGACTGAGGTCTATTATCCTGCTTCAGAAACACCGGCCGTTGCATCTCAGATTTCGCTTCTCGTAATGCCGCAGTCTGACGTTATTAGTCCGTTGGATGAAGCCGACGTCACTCCGCAGATCATGGACCCCACGCCACCTTCGCCCTCTGTTTATTCCGCGACAAACACAAATACCCCCGTCGTTGACCGCGATATACCGGTCCCAGCACTCCCTATTATTGATTTTGACTCCGAAATTGACGCTCAACTCCGCGTCAACCCCGTCATCATGGACCCTACTCCACCGTCGCCCAGGCCGGAGAGGTCATCTTTCGGAGTCATTGACGAAAATGTTGGATTGAGCCGCAATTCGGCCAAGAACAGCGAGGACTCCTTTAGACAGGACCTGCCGCCGAATGGGAATGGAAATGTTGAAATCAATGTGAGCAGGCAACGGAGCATCTCCTTTTCAGAGCGGAAAGACTCTCTCCCTCCTATGCAAGGTCTGAGGACTCGACAGACGGCACCTCTGCCTGAACCCAGGGGACGAAGCGTCTCTGCACGAGTCAACTCGACACTCATAGATGGGTCAAGACTTTCTACGTCCACAAACTTACGGCCCGTGTCTGGCGTCAGCCAGAGCCCGACGAGGAGAAAGCTGCGGCGAAGTTGGATGCCTGGTAGATCCCGCTCCAACTCCATGGACGCCAACCATGGCCATAATTTGGCTGCCTGGGTCATATCTGAAGATAACAAAACGGAATACAACCCAACTTTCCTGAAAACTGGAGAAAAGGTATAAATCACATCTTACCCGCCCGCCTAGCATTGACTGACGAGCGCTAACACGGCGACCAACAGGTTCCTGAGCTGTGGAATGAGAACGGTGAAGTTCTTGTCTATTTGTACCCGAAATCTACCGGGCGCGGACCGTCCTTCAAAGTTCCAGAGTTTACCGTGAGCTCTTCCTTTGTTTTCAATGAACTCATTCGAACAGAGCTGGAGTCTCCCACAGCCGCTAGAGCCCGAGCCAGAAACTCCATAGGAAGAGATAGTCTCAGCACTGATGATGCTTCGCGAGTCTCATCTCCAACGATTCCGATGGATAGCTACTCGGACTACTTGCACCTCTATCTGCCCCCTCCACCATCAAACGCCTCATCAAGTTCGTTGACAGTGCCCGCCGCGGATAACTCAAAGACAGAATTGGAACGTTTGATTGCAATTCGAAACCTATTCGCCTTCCTCACAGGCCAACCCCTCGTGGGAACTCCGGAACGGCCAAGGACCTTTCATGCATTCCTCCAGATTTCAGATCTCTTGCAGGAGTTTGCTTTCTCAGGCGCTGATGGCTATACTTTTGGCAATGCCGTCGACCTGAGTTTCGGCTTCTACTCGGAGTCACTAGGTCTTGGAGACTGTCGTCATAGCCGAGAGCAGACAATTGAGGCCCTTATTCTGGGTGAACGCATGCGGTCTGTTGAGCTCTATAACGAGGCATTTGCACATGCAGCAGGAAAATATTCAGCCATCATGGACCTCCGCCTGCCTTTGTTCCAACAAGTTTCCCCCATCACCCGCCAACGGCTCGAAAGAGCTCATTTGGATCTTGTGAACCGCCAACACAGCGTGAATGAACAACTTGAGCAGTTTGAATTTCCGTCTCTCTTTGCAGGCATCGCAAATTCGTCATCTATACCTGAACTTAAGCAGGTTCGCTTTAAGATTTGGCGGAACTCCTTTAGTCGGATGAGGCAGTTTGTCTTGAATTACTACAAGACTGCATTTGGTAGCTGGCCCCCTAAAGCCAGCAGCAAGAAGAATCCGTTTGCAGAGAGCGGCCTGAACCGAATAGTGCTGAAAACTTTGTATTCGGACCATTGTGCCCTCTATGATTTGCTCGTGGATCGGAACAGCCTAACGTCAAGAGTTATTGATGAGGTGCCGACAGTCTCCAATGAAGCCGACGAGATGATGACATCGGCTCTTCGCAACATTGAATCTGAATTTGATCGTTCCAGGCCTCCAGTGCTACCTCCTATTCCTTTTGATCTCCCTCTGATCCCATCAATGGTGGCGATTCTTGAGACCTACAACACTCTTTCCCCCAAAGAGCAAGCAAAGTTCGACAAGAAAGTGAAGGAGCCTGAAATGCTTCTGGTATTGAACAACGCCTACAACTACGACACTGCTAGCCTCCGACTTCCATTCCTTGATGCTTTTAAGGAATTTGAGGCTCGAGAGTCCAAGGGAAAGACCGCCCAAGATCTCGCCGACCAGCGCATTGGCTATTTCCTCTTCCTCTATGTTGTTCTTCAGTCGCTTCCCACGTTGGTCGTGGATGCTCCCGACCTCAAGTATGCCGAGGGAGTAGAGTATTTCCTGTGCCAGCCGCCAATCGGCAACCCCCCTTGGGTTGATGACAAGCAGGTCCGAAAAATGTGGTATGAGGTTGCTGGAGGAGGCGGCTATGTCGAACTATCTGCGGATGCCGTCATGTTTAGCGTGGAAGCGATATATCACCGAAGTCACTGTTGGCTGGCTGCAAAGATTTGGGAGGAAATGGGCAATTCGGCCACACCGCCGTTGGAGGAGCCAGCATTGGAACCTCTCGAGCCCCCTCGCCCGATCTTCCAGGAAAGCGAAGGCGCCCTTGGCAACGGAACGGGCCCCCTCTCTGGCCAAAGCACCCCATCGCCGCCTCCTGGATCGCCGCAGCTACGCCCTCGACCGCGAAATCTCTCGCCGGGCGGTCGCCGCACTAACAACGCCTACCGCTCTAGCATCATTATGGGTCTGGAACCAGTACCTCTGGAGCCGCCCAATGTCTTCGGTGCTCACCAGCGAAGCAGCTCCCTTGGCCCACGGCCTCCCAGCAGCCGCATTTCTAACCGGAGCTCGTCTGTTGGCAATCTTGTGGGTTTGAACACCCCTCGAGTTTCGAGACCGCCCTCTCCCGCTCGAGTTGCCGCAACAGCTGGAACCACTTTTGATGATATCTTGGGAGAATCACAAAAGAAGAAACCTGCTACCAAGAAGAAGGGCAGATTCTTCTAGTGTCTACGAACTTCTCTCTTTTCTCTCCTTTCTCCTCCTCATTCACTCCTTTCCCCTTTGCTTTTCTCTTGTCTCTCCTTTCTTCTTTATTACATCCTTTTCTCTTCCGTTCTCTTCCTTCCTCTTTTTAACAAACGACTGAGGCATCTTCTGCGACAAATCTTGTTTGCTCTATTTTATTTATTCTCTTTACTTTCATCACACACTTTTGCATAATAAAAAGTTTATTCAATTGTTGAGGCTGGGAATTTCGGCGCATTCTGGTGGTTTCTTCTTCTCTTTTTTCTTTTCTTTTTAAACGGATCCACATACACATTTAGAGCTGGATTTTTCTTTTTTTCTTTTTCTTTTTTAATTTGGCACATCGCCCGTTGGCACGACGCCACGAAAACAGTCAGGACAAGTGACCGAAAACAAAAGGGGTGACTTAGAGGTCCTAACCAGAACGATTTTGTTAGAAGGGGAAACAGCGCAAGGCAAGGCGCGCAAGCAAGCAAGCAAAGCAAGCATGCAAGAATTAGCAAGCGAGCGACAAACAGGCATGAATCATGACAAAGTTTTCTAGACATAATTGCATAGTAATTGTTTTAAATAAACTACTGCTGTCTATTACCGCATAATATAAATATCGGCATTTTGTTGTGTACTGCACTCACATCATACACATGGCGGTACATATATTGGTCTAGTATTTACGGTTTAATGGTCATAACGCCTCCCACTCTGTGGACCTAACCCACAGCTAGCATCTCAGTCATCCCAATGGCTACCTTCCTGAAGCTCAACTTCAGAAGGGACCACAGTAGTCTAGGGAGGAGGTGGTTCTTGACGAAATGCCACTGTGCTTCCATACTCTCAAATTTTCCGAATATATCATCCATGTAGCTCTCCAGGGGCGTGACACTTCCCTCTGCCATGGGAGCTAACAGCGAGGGTTCCGCTCTGGGCTCTGGGATAGGTCCAAGGGCCACCCGCATGGCTTCGGTCATGGAGAATGCTGCTGACTGAGTTCCCTGGGGCATTCTGGTGGCCTGCAATTGGGGGAATCCTGGCACGCTGAGGCCAGTAGGTACTAGGTACTATGGCTACGTTTCTCAAGTATCTGCTACTATGGCTACGTTTCTCAAGTATCTGCTACTATAGCTACATTCTTCTAGTATGTACAACACGGGATACTGGATAGCAAAATAGGAGTGCTGAATAGGCATTCCCATTATAGAGCAGATGTAGATAGAACACACAATGGTTGATATCCTTGACGAGAAATGTCTCCATTGTGATTTACATGGTTCAATCTGAGGAGCGTAAAAACTATTAAATCCTATTTGCTGTCGTGATATCGTGACTTATCTCTCGCTCCCCTTTCCTTTCTTTTCGTCTTTCTCGTAGTTTAACCCAATTGACCTCCTGCCATTAATCAAAAGAAAGCTTCTTGTTCAAAGAAGAAGATAACAGTAATAGAAATAAATAAACCAATCACGCTGCTTCGATCCGTCGCCATCTTCCTCTCTCGGTGTGCCACCACTTCTCCTTCTCCTTCTTGTCAGCTACCTCGCCCTCTTTCTGGTTCCAGCGCCCTGTGCATCCTTCTCTGCCGCCGGAGAGTGCCTCTCCGCCATCGCCCACGAGATCAATCACGTCGACGAGGCCGCCCTGCTCGTCTGTGGCTCCATCGTCGGGTAGTAGGTGATATGATATCTTGCTGCCTAGGGTGCCGACGAAACCGACGACCCCAATCGTCTGGTTGACCAGTCCGTCGTCGTCGGTGATGTTGAAGGTGAAGCGCGGGGTGTCGTGTGCGGCCTCGAGGCGGGCTTGTGCGGCAAGACGAGCCTTTTGGAGGTCGGTGCCTGGCGAGGCGGGCGAGTAGATGGTTGACGGGAGAGACATTGTCGTTGCGGATTTGTGGATAGGGGAGATTGGCGACGAGGGCGCGCTGAAGGACCCGGAGGTCGGGATGCCGCCGATGCCGTGCTGGCGGAAGAAGCGGTCGTTGGGGAGGCAGATTTGCTCGACGGGGCGGCAGAGGGCCTGGAAGCGGCCCTCGGGGTCGTTGGGGGTTCGGAGCGTGGTGAGAGAAGGGAAACCCCCGGCTTCGATGCTGCGGGCGAGGATGTCGTCTGCGGTGTTTGTGGTGGCGGGATGGCTGGTGATGTCCCAGTGGAGCTTGACGATGGTGGATGAGGCGAGGTAGGGCATCATCCAGAGCGCAAAGGAGTCGGTCTCGGGCATCACTGGGGGGAAGGATTGTGCGAGAGAGAAGGATTTGAGCGCCGGGAGGTAGGAGAAGATACGGGCGAGGGCTGGGAGGGACGTGAGAGGTGTGTTTCGGAGCTCGAGATGCTGCAGATGCGACGTGTTGCTACGGGTGGCGAAAGCGGTAAGGCCGTTGGATGTGATGCCGACGATGCGGGACAGAATCAGGGACTTGAGTGGCGGTAGAGAGAGGAGGTTATTATCGTTGAAAGCGTTGGGAGGGAGATTGCAGAGATGGAGGTGTTGGAGCTTAGGGAGGAACGTCAATGTTCTCGATAGGAGTCTATGAGGAGCCAGCGTGGCGCCTGGTTGGCAGAGTATCGACAGCTTGGTCAAAGAGGACCAGTTTCGATGGCTGCCCAGGAATGCGTCTCCTTGATATGGCTCCAGCATAGAAGGTCCGCTTTGCACTCGTTGTTTAGATGGAGAGTCCGTACGCTGCCCCTGTGGCGTAGGTGCAGGTTCTACAATCCAAGTCATGTCTTTCAGCGCCCTCCTTGTCGACAGCGCGTGGAATATCTTCTTGAACGAGTGATCGTAGTTTGGCGTTGGGCCCGACAGCCTCTCCAGCTTCGGACAAGCCATGATCAACGTGGCTACTCGGTCTTCATATTGCTCCAGCCACTGCATGCCCTTCGAGGCGGACCAATTCAACGGCGGTTCTGGATGTGGGACTTTTAACGAGCGTACCAACGCAGCGATGTCTGGGTTGGAGCGTAGGGTGCGTCGTAGCATGGCCATACGATTGCCTTGGTTTTGCTTAAACTTCTTCTTGTGCGCAGCTGAGTCTGAGCCTACTAATTGGATGTCTCCGTATCTGTATATCCCCAACGGTTAGACGTGTAACAAGGTAGGGATAGAAGGAGCTGTAATATGGGAGGGGGCCACTTACAAGGCCGCGCGGGCGTGCTTATACCATCTCTTGCTGCAAAGAGCCGCGCTGCACAGATCGCGCATCATGCATGTCGCACAGCTGTCACTGTTCTTGTCCAAGTGCAGGCCCCTCAATGCCTGGAGGACCAAGTCGAGGACCTCGCCAGGCAAGAGACTGAAGACCTCACCGGGCTGTCTGTCAGGCCTGAACGCCGTTCGAATTGGGGACGACAGGTAGACGCTTTCGCGCACCCAGCTGCTCGTCTCCAACGTCTTCAAGTTCATCCTGTTCCCTGTCGACGCTGCCCGTCTCCTCGGACCCGCGATGCCTTCATGAGCAATAGCTGTGGGAGATGTCGGCGGCGTGTAGTTGCTGTTACCGCCGCTGCTGCCGACACCACCACCGCCGCTACTGGGGTTTCCAGATGTGCCTGCCAGCTTCTTGGGTCGCTTCAATGTCGTGTGGAAGTTTTCCAGAGATCTATCCTGGAACCTTGATGATGCGTTTTGGGGACCTGGATATGCTGGATGCTGCACCGACGATTGACTCGCCGCCCTTGTCGTTCGACCCATGCGTGACACGTGCTCATTGCTCTTTGCATCTGCGCTGCCGTCCGAAGTCTCATCAATAGAATAAAGATCCGCCGCGGTGAAGGCCGGTGGGAGAGGGAAGGCCTTAATGGTGGCCGTCGAAGTCATGATGCCGGGTCTCGCTGTAGTTTAGCACATAAAGATCTAGCATGCAGTTCATCATGCAAGAAAAAAAAAAAAGCGTACAGAAGGGTAGCAGCAGCAACACGTGGAGAAAGTAATTAAAGAACCCCGTGATATTCAGCCTGAATGTTGGTTCTGGGGTTCTTTGCCTCTTTCAACCTCTCTCTGTTTCTCACTCTTTCTCTCTCTCTCACTCTGGGCTTGTCGAACTGCCAAATGTAAGGACGATCAGCTGAACGATCAGCGTCCCCTTCAAGGGTTTTGGAGGAGCAGCAGGCTAGTAGTAGCGAAGCCTGGGGCAAAAGGGGCGGAGAAGCACATCTTTTTGATTGATTCTCCCGGGGTGGTCACCCATGACGGATGCCCAGGCCGGGCTCTCTCTCACTTTCACCTGTTACCACGAAGAGGCAAGCTTCCTTTTTTTCTCTCTTTTTACTTTCGACTACCCTGACGGCCAGGAAGCCAGGCGTCCAGCTCCACGAATCACTGCCCTAAGTGCCCTTGCCATCCCTAGTTTAGAGACTTTTGATGCAGGTACATGTGCTCGCGCTGCAGACTGAGGGTCGACTGCCGAGCCAGGTACAGGCACCGATCCAGGGGTAAATTTGTGGGATTTAATCAAAAAGCCACCCCATCCCAATGCTGAGCTGCTTCTTGGCCCGCTATTCGTATTTATAATTTGCCCTTTTCACCCGAGACATGGGGTGGAGCGGCCGATAATTCGTGTTTGCCCGGATCGGGAAATGTCCAATACTGGCACTAGCGAGCAAATCCTTGACAGGGCAGTTTTTGGGATGATTCGACCGGCCTTCGTTTCCAAGACAAGAAACCGATGGGACGCGAGATTCATTTGATGCCAATTCCAGCGGTCGTATCGACGGCTGTGAGTACGAGACGAGTAAATCATCCCACCCGAATGTCTCGCGAATACTAGCTGTTCGTTTCTTCATTTGCAAATCCGGTGGAGCCCAATCACACAAAATCTCTCTCTCTCTCTCTCTCTCTTCACTCCCAGGCAGACCCTTCTCTGTTAGGCTCGGGGCTGAAGGTCTAGACTCGCCATTCTCAGCCGCCGCCGTGTTTGGATTCTGAATAGCTGGCCAACAGAGGCCCGTGCCCTGAACCAGCTTGAGAGCAATCCGTCGATGCAGATTCAGCCGCATGGCGTCTATGTGCGGCTGTCACTGGTTCCCAGCCGGGAGGCGCACTAAACACGTGGGCTATGGCACGCGGCGCTGTTCTTCGAGATTCTTATTCGACGCGAGGCGCATTCCAGTGCAGTGGTTTTGTCTTAGTCTGGACAGTGTGCCTGGCTGACATGAGTAACAAGCAGGACCATGTTCTAGCTGCATGGCGGAATCACTTTCAGCTTGGAGTAAGGCGTTTTTAGATGAAATGCTTATGTCTCACTGTCGTCTGCGATCTCCTAATAGCCCACAAAAGGATTCATTTGCTGACCAGAGCGCCCGTCATCCTTGCATAGTGAAGCAGGAATGCGAGGGTTGAAACAACGATTTAAGCATACTTGCACTCCCTTCTGCAAAGGTATCTCCCGATGAAAGGGTGAGAGAAACAAAGAATAAGAAGAAGAAGCAAAAAGAAAAGAAAAAGGGAGGCACATAGTTGAAATCCAAGCGGAGAGAACTCGCGCAGTGGAACATATTTGCCCACGAGTGAATCACCTGAAGTGTAAATTTCTGCAATCGCCGTACTATCGACGGTTGCCAGGAATCCATTATGATAGCATAGCTATCTTTATAAACCTTAACCTAAGTTCATGCCGACATATTCGAAAGATAGATATCGGCTGATATCACAATCCTACCTGTAAATGATCCAAGACATTGCTTTATAAAAGCTTTCTTCTAGTCAGCTGCAAAACGAACTCGCCTAGCTGGCTGAGATATCGCTTCTCGCTTGGATATCGCCGCGTTTTCATCCGTCTTCATTCCTTCACTCCCTGGACCGACTTCGTAGGGCCTTTTCTTTTGAAGTACCGGTAATCTCTGCACCGGCAATCTCTTGTCCGGCGTGCGGTTCTCATCTAAAATAATATCCTCATCTGGGTGGCTTGTGACTCCGAAACCTCTACCAAATACGGCTTGTGCAGTATGTAGCGTAGCCATTTGTGAAGTGTAGCTGTCACTGCTTGAGCCCATTGGGCTAACCTTAGTATTCTTGATCCAATTGAAGATCGGCCGCACATCTAGAATGGATTTGACGTGGCGATGCTCTGCCTGAGTCATTTGTCCTTTGCGTTCGAGGATAACTTCATCCAAGCTATTCTTCAGCACAAGCGTTTCAACCCACACTGGTTTCTTCTGACTGATTCGTCGGGCACGACCTATTGCCTGTGCTTCGACCTGAGGATTCAACACGGGATTGATGAAGTAGATTCGAGATGCCTCTCGCATGTCGAGACCAAACGCTGCTTGGGAGATGTCCATAAGGAGGACTCTATGTCTGATTAGGCGGCAAATCTTGCAAATTGGGCATTGAGAGTCACTCACCTGAATTTTTCATTGTGATTGAAGGTGTTGACATATTGTGCTCTCCTTTCCGCCTTCAAAGATTTGGCGTAAATTAAATGTTGAATTTGAAGCTGGTGAGAGTTAGTACGTTTACAGACTCGAGTCCTTGATCAAGTACGAACCACGTCAAGCATGCTGGCTAGATACCATGCTACGTTTTCATTTTCGTAGAAAACGATTATTTTCTCCTCCTCTTGATATTTGACTAAATTGTCAATCAAGTAAGAGAGCTTTGCGGATACGGTCGCCGTAATTTTTGTCTGTTCAAGAGGTCCAACAAAACTTTCGGCAGCGAGGGTCCTCGGTTCAATGCCATTAACACCGTGAGAGCGTGCCTTTTTTGGGCTATCATCGCCCAGTTTAGTATTACCGGCGAGTGTCTCGGAGGATTTATCTTTTGACTTGGAATCTTTCTCGGGTGCTGCCGCGTTTAGTAGTTTGATTCGTTCGAGTGCACCTTCTGAAATGAGTTCGCCATTCAAAAGGGAGTTTAGCTTCTCTTCGCTTCCAGCCACATTGTAAATTAGTTTCTGAAGGGATAGCAGCATGCTCGTGGAGGTACATATGCCGTTCTCCGCAGATGCATCATCAAGGGACCAGGATTCACCAGCATTACCAGGAAAGCCCGTCACCGACACGGCCATTTCGTGGAATTGGTTTGTTAGATTTCTTAGCTTATTTGACATTGCCAAGTTGCCGAACTGGATGGCCTCCTGGAGTAATGATTCATCTTCGGAACTGATGGGAACTTTCCGCTCCACTAAGAATTTCTCAGCGGTTTCCACAGACTTGGCGATTTCATCAACGGTAAAGAAAGATCCTCCAAAAAAGCTGGCCTGTTTTAAATTCTGTACAATTTGTAGCAGAGCCTTTCTTTGCTTTTGATGGAAGAAATAATCCATGTCTTCGCGCTGCGACTGGACAGAGTTGAATACTATCATCATAGAAAACAAGTTGAGAGACAGCTGGTCCTGATACGAACCGTCAAGGACGATAATTTTCTCGTTCACAGACGGAAGAAGGGCGCCAATCTCCGATATACGATGGCGGATAATGAGGGAGTTGAGAGTAGATTCCAAACAATTCCATCGACCCTGACTTTTGGAGCTATGCTTTGGGAGCATTAGATAGGTGGTCCAGTCAGCCAACGTATCGCCACTTTCAATCACGGTGTTTGCCCAAGGCCGAGCTTTTAAATACAGAGCGGCAATAGATCCAATTCTCTCGAGGTCGCTTTTTTCATCGGTCGAAGACTTGTTGGTTTGATTCGTTTTATTATCCGGGGTCGGAGATTGAGTACTCGGAGTATGGGGGTGTGTTGCAGCAGCTTGGGGCTTTTCCACCCCGTACAAGCCGTGAGAGGGAGTTCCGGTGACAATCCAGCGGGAGGAGAAATGCATTGAATCCAAACCAATCAAAAGATTGCTTCGGTTGCTCATTTTCGAGTTACCAAGTTTGTGCCCTTCATCTACGATGCATCGTTTGAAATGGATGGAGGCGAAGACGGAGCCTTCGACACCAGCAAATTGTTTGTGAATCATCTCAAATCTTGTTTGAGAAAAAAGGAGGACGTCATACGTCAGTATATCTTCAAGCGATGGAGTTTCATCATTCTTTCCAAGAATCAACACTTTGAGCCCTTCGGTGTGTTTGTTGATCTCCTGTTTCCATTGTGCGACCAAGTTGTTAGGAACGATAACTACAGATGCCGAACTCAGATAGATCTTCTTGGGCGGCACATGACATGGACTTCTGTTGCTTCGTCCACCACGACGAGGTTCTGGGGCGGGGAGAAAATAATAACCGCGGTTTCTCGAAAGGGCGTCGTTACAGTGGCTAAATTCATATCCATGCTGTTCTTTCCACGCCTCGAAATGAGATTTCCAGGGAACGGCATGGCGTGTGGCGCAAGAAGCTGCCATATCGGCGAGGGATGCAATTCTTCGTCTGACGGGTGGTTCACCAGCTTTGTAAAAGTCAGGCGGGCTTGTCGGCAAATGCTTTGTCGCAAGCATCAGCGCAAGGCAGATGGCTGTCTTGCCTGCCCCCATTTGTTCTGCTAAAATCCCCCCAGAAACTCCGTCGTAATATCGTGGCTCCAAAAGGACAACACCGGTTACGGGATCCATATACCAATGAGAGCCATTTGTGTCTCTGAGATGCAGCAGTCGAGGGTCAAGAATCTGACCGGGCTGTGTCTCCTTCTGTAGCATCAAAGCCGCGGATCTTCTTTGGTGCGAATACAACTTAGTTTTGAGTCCTGGTACCTGACTTTCCATGAGATTGTACATTGCATCTTGTGTGTACGGCTCATCGACGGCATTCAAGTCTGGGCAAGGCGAGGGAATGGTATTGAAGAGTTCCAGGAGCGAGACATCCTTCTCATTGTCGATGGAGCTGGGATCTTCAAGCACTGGGCGACCTGGGTGATCCGGTTCTTTGATAGCTTTCCAAGCGCATGGTGAATAATCGAGAGAGCGGAGTACAAACAACCTTGCTTTTTCCAAGCTTGAATCGGAGCGATCAACCGACCGACGCAGAACATCATCTGGAAGCAAGTATATCCTGACGATTCCTAGCTGTTGGCCTAGGGTGCTGACGCAAAATTCGAGCTTGCACCAACGAGCCTGAAACAACTTGCCCAATGGCGAAAGTTTTGAAGACTGGAGGAGCGACTCTTGCAGATTGGGATTGATGTATGGCGTATCGGATGGGATGGCATGCCCGCCATTGTTCAAAGTGTCATGGTGCCGCATGAAGCTTCTCCATGTTCGGTTTTCTGTGGATAGCCAATCTTCTTCACTGATATGGCAATCCTGTTGTGAAATTCCAACACATCCGGCAGGAATATAAGGAACTCGTTGAGAATGCATGGTGATGTCAGTATTAATCGTCATATCAAGTAGAAACCGAAGCCATATGACGGTCCTAAGAGTCTAACGTTGTAAAATCCTCCCCTGAAGTCTCAATCATCACATTTCGAAAGGGTCGTCTGGTGCTGAGTGAAAATGTTGGGAGATAAACAGGAAGGAAAGGAGGAGGTTCGGGGTTAAGGTTATTAATCCTTCCTCAGGTGCTGCCTGCTTACAGTGTCAATATGAGATTGCACTGTCAGAAAAGTGCACACCTGCGTGAGTATATACAGTGCGCGATATATAGTAGCTTGAGTAGCCACTTACTCTTCACGGCCTTCAGATCCGGCTCACTAATGCCAAATGAAATTAAAGTATGAACACCAATTAATATATCATAAATTCTGAACGCAATTTTTATAAATTGCTCATCTATTTCCAACGTTCTAGTAAACCGACATGCCATTGCTGAAATAGCCGCTCAGAGCTGGGCAATAAGCTGTTACTTTCCTGGAGCATTTGACGAGCTGCGCTGATAGCAGCCGCTGGGAAGCTGATTTCTTGGACGCCTGAAGTCATAGAATCGACAAGCTTATTTCCTTCCTCTATATCAATATCTTGATAGAGAACCTTTATCGCTGTCCGCCTTCCTTCGCGCATCGTGGAGGAATACACGACATTGGCATTAAGCACCCAGAGGTGGAGAGACTGAGATAATTCCGATTGCGGCCCTTCTGGGGTAGCATCAAGCGTATGTGAAGCCACGACGGATTTGGATGAGCCCGATCGTGATATGGTTGCTATTAGAGTGGCTGCAAGGCACTCTGAGCTGTTTGGAGCTTGGCTGGCTGAGCCAGTTTCGCAAGTTACTTGCCACTTGAACAGGGTAATAGATACTGCCAGGGCATTATAGATTCCTATTTCTGCACGGCAAGTCTTGCAGGAGATACGTAAAGGCCTCACTGGATCGGTATCATCAATAGCTTCTTTGCTGGCGTCGAAGGAGGCGTCCGAATCAGGGCGAGAAAACTGCTGCTAGTAAGCTGAACCGTCCTACGTCCTGGGAAGCCAATGCAACACAATCACGTCTACGAAGTTTATAGATTTATCTCCATTAATCTCCCGAATCCCACATCTCTGGAAACTGGATGAAAAGTAAGAGACTGCTTTAACAACTCGGACGCTTAACCCGTTCTCGCTAGAGAAGGGTACGGACGTCAAAATTGCCCAGAATCATCTGGGAAAAGCAATGCATTCTTCTTGGGGAATTGTATCGGTGGCCGGGTCACTGAGAGGTGTTTATACACTCGACTAGGCCACCTTCTATTTCCCCACTTCTTAAGAGCAGAGAGCTTTGCGGGGAGCTGGTGAAAACTTACTGACAGTCCATCACAGTCCGACTCGGAGAACATGAAGGAAGTGAGGTCCACAAACCCGACTTCAGGTTGGGCGGTAATTGCACTATTAGCTCCGTATCCGCGCTTGGACAGATTCTCGCCATCATGATGCTCATGGTCATGAGGCTTATGGCAGTGCCAAAACTCCATCATTTCTGCCCAGTTCTCGCTGGGTAAATCTTTCCATGACTTTATACGGTCTCGTTGGACAATATTGTAATTGCAGTGTCGGCAGCAAATAGAGGAGCCGACTTTGAGATCCGTAGAGCTCCAAGGCACTGACTGGTTCTCGGCAGAGAACCTTGTCAGTTGAGTCTCAGTGGCCGGCACCGGTAGCCTCCAGGTCAAGTCCTGTGAGGAATTCTCTGGGATAGGGATCGTAGATCGCACTAGGACAGTTGCTGGAAGGTCTAGTGATCTTACTTCGCCCTGATGCTGAATCTGAATGCGACGGCCGCCATCGAGAATCTCGGCCTTGGTCGTCGCATCCGATGGCGACGACAGCGTGGCTCTAACTGACACTTGTCTGATATTCGAGAGCAGCTCGGCATATATGGAGCCAACAGCGGTATCTGATTGCGCCATGGCTAGCTCAGCATCTTCCTGCGAGCTGGAGTTCTTGCTTGAATTGTAGGTTGATAGAACGACTGGCCGTGGTTCAAGGTTGAGGCTTGACGCTGCTGAAGCTGAGGCTAAGCATTTTCACGTCTGTGGCTTAACAGACGCGACGCGTGACCTGTTGCGTCACTGACCAACGGCTCAGCAGCTGCAGAAGTACAAGCTCCACCATGATGCCATCCCCACAAATCTTAGCTGCGCGGAACGATTCCACGGGATCCATGTACTTTGTTGTATTCTTCGCCCCAACACAACAATTGATGAGTTCATCACTTTGCCAAAGAGCTCGGTGAACTGGTTCTTCTCCCTTTTCTCTAAGCACGGCCGAACAATGTCAGGTATTCTCTCGTATATCCCAGGCGCGAGCCTGCTCGTGGGCCGACCTAAGAAGGCCATTGATTTGCCATCCGTGGAAATCCATCACATTGAAACACATGCCGATAGGCGGGCTCGCTGTCTTAAGCACTTACTGAAGGCGAATCATGCGAACTACGCCATACTTTGGAACGATCTCCGGTTTGACAATCACAATGTTCACATCCTCAGCTCAGCATATCTTCTTGGAGCAAATGAAAAGCAGCTGCATGACATTTACAATGACGAGATCAAAGACCTGGTGCCTTGGGAGCCGTCGCCTTCCGAGCTGATTGACGAGGACTGGAGGGACTTTCTGGGGGATAAAGAGTATCAAAGGGCCTTTGTGGATTACTATGAAGATAAGCTCGCCATGGAGTTTGCCTACGACTGGAAACAGGAATTGCAACATTTTCTGTTTAGTGGCGAAGAGCCGTTGTTCCATGGCTTGATAGGCGGCCGTAGGAATTTCTTTAAGCACTTTACTCGTTCTACTGTCCACATGCTAATACTTGATAGTTGGCCATCCGCTCATTCACCTGGGCTATGCATATGAGGTGGATAGCAGAGAGGTCGCCATGGAGGCGCTTGCTCTCACCTCCGTCCAGTACAACTTTTTCCACAAGTATCTCGACAATGGCTCATATACGAAGCCATCCCCGCTGAAGTCGCGGGCCCCATTGGATCTCCTGGTCCAGATGTCTAAGGATAGTAGATTTGACAAAGTACCGGAAGATCTTCCGCTTAATGACTTGGAAGCACTTCTCGACAAGAATGAGTCGCTCCTCCTGGAGTACTGGAACGGATGGGATCTTGACGAGGACCCCAAGAAACAATTTGAGCTGTCCCAAGAGGCAGCTGTCGCGTTGCTCGTGGCTACTGTCCAGCCAGGAACCCACGCATATGACTTCTACTTCGTTCACTTGCTAACCACTAGCCACGCTGTCCGGATTCTTCTCCCGTTTCTGCCACCCAAACACCACGTTACGCTGGTTAGAGAATGGTGGTTATTCGTGTTGGCCGTTTTCATCATCAAGGACCGGCCATTGCCAGATCCTGATAGTGTTGAGAGTGATTTGAAAGGAAAGAATTGGAAATATGTGGAAGACAAAGCATTGAATTCGCCATGGTCGAAGGATGCACACTTTGTCAAAGGTATGACTACGATCCCTGATGCTAGAGAGAGCTGTAATTGAATACTAACATGATGCTTACAGCGATACGAGCTATAAGAGAGGCTGCTCGCACATGGGGTGATGTTCACGAGCGCTATCTTCGAGCTGCAGTGACTTTTGTGGACAACTTCTACGGTTGGGTTCACTAAAATGGGCTTGGGACGATGGCTGGTTGGGTGATTGGATATGATCTAAATTGGAAAATGAGGCACGGCGTAATAAGCGAGCCGTGATATAATGCAAATGGGCTAAGGCATGAAATTTTGGATAATGGGGAAAAATTGACTCTCTTCTTTTTCATATTCACATATAATCCATGCTCTGGTGATGTGTAGCATTGATGCCTGTGTCGAGCTCCTTCAGCTTGAGCTATCACGGTAGCGACTGCCTAATGCCAAACAGTGCTAATTTATCAGCGCTAATCTCTTGCACTGTACGTGGACAACTTGTTTAGCTAGGCATCCCAAGATTGTTTCTCTTCCCTTCAGATATCAGGCCCATGCTGCACTCTTAATACCTTATCAGCCCCTCCTATCGCTGCTGCTGGGTTGATTTCTTACTTGTATCCTGCCTCACACTCCCGACTTGCATGGAATCTTCACAGCCCGGATGATTCAGTCGCGTTAATGGCACCGCCTGCGAAGCGTCGCCGGCGGAATACCGTTGAGGCGTCCCAGGATGAAGACGAGCAGCCAAAGGCCAACACCTTGACTAATTTCCTTCTATCTTCGCCAAACTCACCGGCAAAGCTACGAGCGCCCACTTCGTCTCCAAGTCCCGTGAAGAAAAGGACGGCCAATGGCCAATCCTCTAGCAATGGCAGCCCTCTTCGGCCGTCGCGATCGCTAAAGAATGGCACGAGTTTCAGCAGCCCTAAGAAGACCAGGGCTGCAAGCAAGGTTGACGACAAGGCAAAGACGGCAGACTTGAAGACGCTCTTCTCCAAGCAGGCACAGAAAGTGGCAAGGCCAGGCTTGGGAACCGACAGAACGACGGAACCGATAGACGATCTCATTACCGATCCTATTTCCGACGACGACGAAATATCAGAGCTCAAAGCTAGTTCTTCCAGTGTCGTTGGGCAGCATGTGAGGAAACGATTGAAAGGCGCTAGCGGCGCTGCCCATTCCGTGCCCAGTAGCTCACTGAGCATGAGCCAAAGATTCCTAAAGCCTAGTCGACCTGCGTCTGCGGATACACTGAACGATGATTTACGGCCTTGGTCGGAACGATTCGGCCCGCGGAATCTAGATGAGCTTGCTGTACACAAGAAAAAGGTGTCTGACGTTAGGAAGTGGATTGAAGATGTCATGGGAGGACGGATGAGACAGCGATTGCTGATATTGAAAGGCGCTGCCGGCACTGGGAAGACCACGACAGTTCGCCTCTTGGCAAACGACATGGGATCTGAGATTTTGGAGTGGAAGAATCCTGCCGGAAACTCAACAACTGGGTTTGTGTCGGCATCCGCGCAGTTTGAGGATTTCCTCGGGCGAGGAGGCAAGTTTGGGGCTTTAGACTTGGAAGAACCCGAGCCGTCGTCCACGCCGGCAAGCTCAAACAATGCCTCACAACCCCCCAATAACAACGGGAAGAAGATGATTCTTATTGAAGAATTTCCAAACACATTTTCTCGGAGCTCGACTGCGCTTTCTTCCTTTCGGCGCAGCATCCTTCAGTATCTGGCAACACAAACGCCGTCCCTACATGCCTTTGGACAGCAGAGACGAGTGGAGCCAATTACGCCTGTTATTATCATCATTTCAGAGACTCTGCTGACGACCACGTCCGCTTCAGCGGATAGCTTGACTGCCCATCGCCTGCTCGGACCGGAGATTCTGCGCCACCCTGGGGTTGGCCTGATCGAGTTCAACGCGATAGCTCCTTCGTTACTAGCAAAGGCCCTAGAACTTGTTGTACAGAAAGAGTCACGAAAGTCGGGACGCAGACGAACTCCAGGACCACTTGTTCTTAAGCGGCTCGGTGAAATTGGAGACATTCGTAGCGCTATATCATCGCTCGAGTTTCTCTGCTTGAAAGGAGACCAAGATGCTGACTGGGGATCTAAAGTGACGTTTACAAAACAGAAGAAAGGAGCAAAGGATGGCATTGCCCTCACACGTGGTGAAGAGGAGAGTCTCGAACAGATATCTCAGCGAGAAGCTAGCTTGGGCATCTTCCATGCTGTCGGCAAGGTGGTCTACAATAAGCGGGATGATATGCCATCCAACGACCCTGCAGAAAAGCTGCCGAGCTATCTTTCGCAGTATTCGCGTCCAAAGGCATCACTGGTGTCTGTCGATTCACTAATCGATGAGACGGGCACCGATACACATACATTCATCTCGGCTCTTCACGAGAACTACGTACTATCCTGCGAAGGCACAGATCCGATGGATCTTTCGACTCCCATGGACTACGTCAACGAATGTATCGAGTATCTTTCGTTGGCCGACTTACTCAGCCCTTCCCGAGATGTCTTTTTCGGCGGACGTGGCGGGTTCAGTGGAAACTTTGGAGATTCAGCAAGCCATGTTCTTCGCCAAGATGAGATAACGTTTCAGGTTGCAGTGCGCGGCATGCTATTCTCCCTACCCAATCCCGTTAAAAGAAAGACGTGGACTATGCAAAAGGGTAGTGATGCGTTCAAGATGTTTTATCCCACCAGTCTCAAGCTTTGGCGAACAAAAGAGGAGATTGAAGGCCTCATCGATGTTTGGTCTGGGAAAGTCTTGAGAGGCGAGGCTAATCTTCCGTCGAGGAATATCATGGACGGAGCGAGCATATTTCGCCGTACCCAGACCTCGGGAACCTCGAACCAGAAGCAAGCGGGCACAGCACCCGTGTCTAAAGATGCCAACCAAGAGGAAGAAGAGCGCGACAGCTCTCCGATACCTACGCTGGGTAGCACGGCTCGTCGTGAATTACTTCTTGACCGGCTCCCGTACATGGCGCAGATTGCCCGTGGCCGCAAGACGGGGGGACGGCAGCGAGACCTCGAAAAGATTGTTTCGTTCTCTGGCGTGAACGTAGCACCGGACGATGAGTCGGATGCTAATGAAGAGGTCGCTATGGGGGAGACGTGGGCGACAGACAAGCCATCTGAAGAGGCTACTCCGCGGAAGAAGAGGATGGGCATAAAAACTGGCACAGTCACAGGCCTGCTGAAGCAGAAACTGGTTCTGAGTGATGATGATATTGAAGATTAAAGATGAAACGGCGGGAAGGCGTTTTGATGATTGCTGAGATGAACAATGGAAACAATACATATGAGTGGACGGACAATGGGTCATGGGATTTGCGTTCTTTTTAAATCTGCTTTCAACAAATCGGAGCATGTGTGTACAATAAGCGATGTGCATATGGAAGACGTGGGATTGTGGGCTGCCGAGTAGATGAGGCGTATAATAAATGGCGACCTGTGAAGGAAGCATCTCGAGATTATATACAAAGGGCGTCACGTCAGAGATTGAAATGTTAGCTATGCAGCTAGCACATTTATAACAAACATCTTGCTCTTTTACACAGTGTAGTCTAAATGCTTGCCTGCGAGAAAAAGGTTAAGAAGATAAAAAAAGAAGAGGTAGCAAAAACCAAAAAGAAAAGGAGAGATTTAAAACTCCTTGCAGATGTTTTATCGTTGTATCGTATCATTGCCACATTAAAATCATCCCAAACGCCTTTGAATGTCTCCTCCGTGAACGCCGGTGCCATTTTTGCATCGCTCCCATCGATATCTCTCTTGGATAGATCCTAGGCCACAAGATTCGCTGCGACAAAGGACTATATATCGAGATTTGAAAAGTTAGCATAAATACAGTGGATAGTTCAAGACGAAAAAAAGAACGTAAACGCGGGGGATGGGGGGAGACGTTACGGGAAACTCCTTTTGCAGAGAATTGATGACATTTTCCACCTCTTCGGCCAGACTCTCGACGTTGGCGTCCCACCTGCGCATCTCCTTGTTTGCGATAACCTCGGCACGGCCGCTGCCCTTCTCGCCAGAAGCCTCGCCGCCCTCGAACCGGACTATGCCCTCGAGCTGGTCCATGCGGCCGACTAGTCGGCCCTGCTCAATCATGCGTGCGGTCGTCTCCTCGGCCTTGTCGGCGTCCAGGCCAAGCAGTGCTCCCAGGGCACCGAACTGGATGTTGTTGTACAGCCTCGACACGCCCAGCAAGTTGTGCTCCACGACGGCCTTTGCAAGAACAGTCGATCCGTCGGCGGTGGTGGCCAACTGGTGCGGCTGCAGGCCCTCTGCAAACTTGTCCACCTCTGCGGGCGACAGCAGGCGGTCCAAAAACATCTTCTCCAGGATACCAAACTCGGCGAGCTGCGCCGACCTCTCGTCCTTGTACAGCCTGCCCAGGATGCGGCTCCTCATGGGTCCGGCGGGAGCCAGGATAGCGCACTTGACTGCCATGCTCAGCGTGTGAAGGCGCTCCTCCTCGGCGACGGTGGGGAAGAAGCTGATCTCGTGGTACCGTTGGGCAGCGAAGAGGAAGTCCCGCTTCGCGTCCTGGATGCGGGCCTGCGAGAGGCGGAAGTGCAGGTTGAGGTCCGGGTCCGAGACCGTGTGCATGATGTTCTTGAGCTTGTTGATGTACATGTCGGCGGCGGTGTCATCGCCAACCTCGAGGTAGTTCCGAACGATGCGAACCCACACGCGCGCCTTGTCCGCGTCTGAGACTTTCCTCTGGGAGCTATCCAGCGGAATCTCGGCGAGGGCCTTTGCAGCATCGAGGAAGTCTTCGTTGTTCTCGTGAGCCGTGGCCACGAGCTCGTAAATGGTGGCAGCTGCATCGAAGAAGGATGATGGCTGGGCGGCCAGTCTGTTCAGCGTGCGATTGCCGACCTCGATCCACAGGCTCTCCTTTTCGATACTCTTGAGGGTGGCGATGAAGGTAGTTAGGAAGGACCGCGAGGCCACGAGGCCGAGACTCTGGCCGAAGAAGGAGTCGAAGATGGCATCGAGATCGGCTGCCGTGGTTGGCGAGGCGAGAGTCTGGATGTCGGAGAGGATGGTTTCGTAGATGGCGCCTTTCTCGCCAGACTCTGCTTCTGCGGCGGAAAGGGCAGCGGCGAGCTTCGGATTGGGAGCCATGGCGGGATGGAGATTGTGGATGAAGATGTGTGAAGATGGGAGTTGAAAGAGAAGTCGATGCGTGTGTTGCCTAAAGATGAATTGGAGCTGGTTTTGGCGGGGCAGCGCCGAGCTATAGCGGGGTAGCTCCCGGAAGACCGCTAAAACACCAAAATAGAAGATGCAGCAGTTGATTGCATTACACTGCAGTGCCAAGCGGAGGTCAGAAAAGGCGACACCGCAAAACGAAATACATGCATACCTACATTCAGCGATATAAGCACTCACTTAGCTTACCAAGTAGTTTTTTTTATGAGGGAACGTCTAGGTAACTATTCAGCCAGCACCCGAATTTGGCCATATTTTTATAGTAGCAGTTACTATAAAAAATAAATATAACGGCAAATGCTACAAGAATATAAACATAGTAGCAGTTATAATAAAAATATAGATATAGTAGCAATGATATAGATACAGCAGTAGTTACTAGAAATATATAGATATAGTGGCAATTAATAAAGAAATATAAATATAATAGTAGATACTTTAAGAACAGATGCATAATTCAACGCGTGGGTGTTGGTAATCTTCTCGGTTGCGGTTTTTCTGTCCTCCGCTTGAGTGCTCCAGTTGCCAACCGATCAACTTGAACTATTGAATCTATGCCAGCTTGCAGAACGAAAAGAAGAAAGGAACTTTTCACAAATGGTTGATTGGGATTCATTCAATTGTATATATAATGCAAAGAACCCCGAGAACAAGTCCAAGACCAACACCTGTCCAATGCTCTCTCTCTCCGCGTCCCATCTCATGCAATGTATTTGTTGCCGCTTAACACTCTCGAGACATCCAAATAGCAAAAACGCCCTCCAATAAAACACTATGAAACAAATGGCAGTACACATCAACGCCGACAGTATACCTGTTAAATCCAAGAAAAAGAGCTCGCTCTAAACAAGACCACTTTCACATGCTCTATTTGTTATGCCACACCAAAGTCCTCAGCGAATCCCAGCTGTCGCAGTCCTTGTAGATATAAGTCATGCTGCTCCTCAGACTCGACTGCAGATCCTCTGGGTGGTGCTTGAACAGCAGCATGACCATGCCCCACGACAGCGACGCAAACGCGGGCCAGGCGTAGTGGGTGATTTGCGAGTGCAGCGGCTCGCTCGACACGACGGGCAGGCCGTGGCCGGGCTTGACGGCGATGCGCGCCAGGGCCAGGGCGACGCGGGCGAAGATGTAGATGACAATCTGCTGGTTGACAGACGAGATCTTGCCGTAGCGCTTGGAGCGCTGGCCGAAGACGATGTAGCCGCCGAGGAGACCGGCGAAGAAGGAGTCGAAGGGGCCTGTTCGCAGCAATGTGTGAGTAGGGGGATTGGTAAAATTCGATACTCATACGGAGAGAGTGATAGGAAGAGGACGTGTGGGAGAGAAAGATATCATACCCTCCTTGCCAGGTGTAGCGCCATAGCGTTTCAGCGCCAACATTGTAATCTTGTATATAGAAGCAAACTTGGCCAGGTTCGTGGCATGCTTCTTCGTCGCCCGAAAGACCAGTGACGCCTTTTCTCGGAACCTAGCATCCAAACTCAAGTCAATACCTGATATCCATGTATGCGTGTGTCTGTATAGATTCGCCCCATCGCCATCGCATCGCCATCAGGGTCGGGATCGTCAACAAGGGAATACGTACGTTCCGGACCGGAAGAGGAAGATCATCCTGTCGCATCACACACATTAGCACAACCCCATCCCGAATCCATTCCGTGCACCATTCGCAACTTACACCAGCGCGTGCGGAAAGCGCACTTTTGTCCCGTAGACTGCGCCGTTGCGCGCCGTCTTGAGGAGCGACAAGACGTCATGGTATGTCGGGTCTACTACGATGCCCTCCAAAAACGCCTATTGCAAAAGAGTGAGCCAGCGGTCTTGACATTTTGTTTCTCCATTTGCTTTCGTCTCAATCGGAGGGGAAAATCCCCAAGGGGAGTGAACCGCATCGCCCATCCATACCTTCCACTCTTCCAACATCCACGAGGCAGCCATGGTGCCTCGGCTATCGACGCCCGTGTCAATGTACCAAACACGGACGCTAGAAAGGGAGCGCGAGAATCCTCAACAAGCCTCGCACAAAAGAGGACGAAGAAGGACCTAAAATAGTATAAAGAGAAAGAAGAAGATTGGAGAATTTTGCTGCGAATAGTTGTGCAAAGTAAGATCGAGAGTTCGGGAGGAGAGAGAGTTTGAACGTTTCGTATGTAGAAAGGAAAAAGGGTTTCGGTTTAGCTCAGATCGGTCGGCTGCTGATGACTTGAGCCTCGGTCGGGATTTGGCGCGATAAGATAAATATGGGGAACCCGATTATGAACCCCGGACGGAGCCAGCAAGCGTCAAATACGTCACTTTTTGGGGGGAGGGTGGAGCGGAAGAGAGTCCCCTGGAGCTGCCCGCTAGAGACTGCTGAAAGATGGAAAATCTCCGCCTGTAGCTCAGCTCTTGGTTAGACTCAGATGCCAGATTACTTTGAGGGATTGATGTTTGGACGGGACGCCACCTCCAGGTCTTTACCCCACGCTTTTGCCTTTTCACATGTGATTCCTTCTCCTCGTGCTAGGCACTTCTGCATATCATCCAACCACGTGTACCTATGTATGGTATCACTTGTACGTAAAGCTAACAGACATTATACATTAAATCATGTACATCAGAAAATGAATTAAGTCCAGAGTACTCCTTTCCAACGGCTCATCGTAGAACCAGCAACCTAGCCAGCTATATGCAAGTCAAGCACTTCTAAGCTCTAAACATAGTACCGACTACCAAATCAGCCATCATACAACATCCAACTTCAACACCACCTCTCCCACGGCTCCCGCCACTTCACCCCCAAAATCTCAAATATCCTCTTCTCATCCCTACTCTCCACCAGCTCCCCCGCCGTAATCTTGGCCCGATTCGGCCCCCTCAGCACATCCCTATACAGTCCCCGCTGGTTCAGCCGCATGCCCTTCTTAGAGGCCAAAAGCCGCATGCTGCGGTTGAAGATGTCGTTGCCGGTAAAGTAAATCAACGCCGCGCCCAGCTCTACCTCGGGGACCAGCAGGAAATCGATCCTTCGCCAGATCGGCCGGTATTCGCCGTTCGTGTCGTTGAGGCCCTTGATCTTGGGTAGTACGCAGCAGCCGTGCCATTTGCTGCCGTCGCCGCCTGATCGAGATGATGCTAAACGAGCGACTAGGAACTTGTCTCTCTCCAGCTGGTCCAACAGGCTGTTTAGAAAGGGTTTGAGATCCGCCACAGACTCGGTCCCTGGCTTCGTCACAATAAAGTCGATGTCGTGTGAGCTCTCCGCGCCTCGGCGGTAGCTGCCCCCAATAATGAGCTGCGCCGCCGAATCGATCCGAGCTGCCGCCTTCTTGACAACTTCACCCAGCGCAGTCACCTCCTTGCGCGGTATCCTAGTGTTCAAATCATCGTAATGCTCCATGCCAATCAGCTGACTAGGCGTCAACTTCACATTCTGCTTTACATCCTCGAGCGTTCTCCAGCCCTGCGCAATCCACTGCTCTGCTATCTTGTTACCCACGCCGTAAATCTTTAAAAATGTTTGCAAGGCGTGGTCTGTAGGATCCTCTTCTGCACACTCAAGCCTCTTCAGCTTATCTGTTGTAACAATCTCCTCAATCTTTTGCGCCAGTCGGCGACCGATGGTCGGGAGTCGATATGCCTCTTCTTCGGTGGTAATCTTGACGCTCTGCTGTTTCAAGATGCTGATGGCCTTTCGGTACGCAATTGTCCGCCAATGATCGTTGACCCTTTCGTAGTAGCTGTTCATCCTTTGTAATATCTCAATAGTGCGTGCGTTTGGATTGTTTTGGTTAGCATCTTTCCTCCCGGCTCTATTGCAAGCGAATCGGTCTTCGAATGCTATTGCTTTGCTGGTTGGTCGAGTCCTCCTGGACGATCTCCTCGTCCGCTGTGATTCGGTCTCCGATTCAGAACGATGATCGCGATCCAATGGAACTTTCGCTTCGCTACTCGGAGACTGAACATCCTCCTCCTCGTCAATATCTAGCGGTAAATCTCTAAACTCTTGCAGCATTAAGATGTAGTCTGACAACTCGTCTTGCAATAATGGCGTATTGTCTTTGCCACCATCCTTCATCAAACTAGGGTTCTCTATCCCCGTATCACTGTTCGATATGTCGTTCTTGGGCTCGCCACCATCTTCCAAATCAAGCACAACAGGTTGAGAGTCTACAGCCACCGTTCCCGCCTTTCTCCTTGTTACACGACTGCCTAGTGACGATTCCTCGCTCTGAGAAGGCGTTCCTTTCGGTGGAACATAATCCCACTTCGCTTTGTTATGATGCTGCGGTTTCAGCGGCAGCGAGCCTACTGTCGATTTTGACTTTGGTTTCTCCTGGGCTCCGGAATCAGCAGTAGGAACAGGAACCTCGGGCTCCTTTTCCTGTTCATCCACCTCTGGCTGGCCATTTACAAGATACCTGCGCTGGCTAGCATCCACAATGGCACGAAACTGTATGCAATCAAGAGGGTAGTCCTCCGTAACCACCTTGGGCGGCGCTCGACCCCCAAATCCATCCTTTGGCCACATCTTCTCAACATCCTTGTACTCAAGCTTCTTCTCCACCACGACATGGGTAGCCGTCATCAGGTCTCTCGTCCATGTCGCCCCAAACTCCTTTGCTCTGTTAATCCGCAACCGCCTCGCCGGCGCAATGTCATTGTCCGGGATGTAAAAGAACGACAAGCCCTTGAATATCTGCTCAGCCTCAGGGCGCACATTCGGTCCGGAAATACGCCCTCTCTTATTACCACGTGCTGCTTTTGTTGCCATCCCAGCTTTGGCATTAACAGATGGCGATGACGACTCCTCAGAGGCACTGTCCAACGATCTCTTCAACGACGCCGACGTTCGAGGCAGCTCGGGACCATCTTCAATCATAATCACCTCTTTGCCTCTCTTTTCTAAGTCCACAGAAGGCGTCTCTTGAACAACATCCGTCACGCCATCCAGCAGCGCGCCAAGTCGCCCCTTTGGCCTCGGCTTCCCCGGTCCAGTCCCCTTGATGACTTTTCCAGACTCAGGTCGAGGCGCTGCGATAACTTTTCGGGGCGTAAGATGCTGCAGCCGCCTTGATTTCACAGGCAGAGATTTGTCTTGTTGCTTTTGAGGTTGTTGATTCTGCTGTGCTCTTTGTCCATGTCCTTGTGTTTGGCCTTGTTGATCAGGGGCATGTAAGCTGGGCGCAGGCTGAAAGAAGCCCCTGTGAAGCTCTCTCTGTCTCTCCTCGCGCGCATCAAAAGCGTCGTCATCGCGCATCCCATCATTTATGAAGGAAAAGCTTGAGAGTTGATTGAAATAAGCCGTCTTGGATTCCATGTCGTCCATTTTGGAAGCGAATTAAGAGGTAGATAGCCTTGCACTTGTGCTTGTGCTGATGCGTTTACACGCCAACAAGGAGCGTGAAGGGGGATGGGTGTCTGTGAGGTCGCATGTGCCTTGGACCATGAGTTCTGCAGAGGATAGCGGTTATTATTAGAGAACTGGATTAAAGCATCGAGGTTAAAAGGTTTGGCAGCGATTTCTTGGCTGTTGCTTGCACAGTTGATCCGTTCACATGGTGTTGACGTTTCAGTAAGGTTGATCGTGCACGGAATCAATTTGGAAGCTGAGCCTTTTTGTAGAGCTGCTGACTGTGTCACTTACAGCGGATTACCTACCTAGGCAACAGCGCCTAAAACATGACCTGGAGCCTATTAGCGCCTCAGCCATCCATCTGTAGCAACACATGTGCTTTGTTAGATCTCTTCAATTTAAAGTGTCATGGAATCAATCCATGATGTTCACTGTTATTCGCTATCATACTCGCTGCCTAGCCAATACAAATAAAGACATCATCACCTCTCGCTAGTAAACCCTAACAAATACCAATCCAGCTCAAAAAATTCCCCAAAATAGCATCTCCAGCCATCTACTACACCCGGCTCATCACCTATAATCGTAAACCCTGAGCACGGAGAACATCCACCACAGCCAGAGCATCACCCACAATCTTTCTATAATCATGGACCGAGACCTCAGTCGAGTCAACTCCGCAATCTGCGCCAAGTACTGCTTGTAGTTATATCTCTTGAGATACAAATAAACGAGCTACACACACATGGAGTCAGTCAGCCTTGTCTCAAACAAAGAAAATCAACCTTTGCTTCGTACCGTGTCTGCCAGGTCCGCGAAAGGCGTCAGAAGCAACATCAAGACCAAGACCTGGTGCATCCTCGTCGTGCCTTCAAACCAAAATTTGAGAACGTCCAGTGGCTCCCCCGCATAGACAAACGCTGCCGCTTCCACTGTAAAAGACAACGCCCCGATGGATGCAGTTGAAACCAGCACGTTGTGAACCATCAGCTCCGGCACCGCCTTCGAAAAGAGCATCATATCGTGCCTCAGCTGCTGTTATCCCAAACTTGTTCAGAATCAACAGCATCAAAGGAGGGAAAAAGAAAAACTCACGTAGCGCCAAATCGGATCAACCGTCCCAAGATAAAAATACGCCCCCAGCACCCTCACAATCTTCCCCCTGACCCCCTCTTCCTTGACACCGCTCGCCCATAACGCTGCATCGCCCACAATCAAACACATGAGTCCCGTCCCAACTTCAAAGAACAAATCCCTCTTCCACAAGGTCACGCTGCCAACCGTCTGAGGAATCCGTCTCTAACCCTTCGCCTGGGGTTGCCGTTTTTGCTTGCGCTTGCTCGGCAGCTTGTAAGGAGAGGGCCGCGTCCTTAATTCGATGATGAAGAGGCATAGCCAGACAAAGTAGCAAAAGATTGCGCACTCCAAGACGCCTTGTACTTCGCCGTTGGTATCGAAATGCTCTTTGAGCGAAGGGCGGAGCGGTTGCGCTAGGAGAGAGATGAAGGAGAGTGCCCAAAAGACAAGGTGAGCTTGTGCTGATAACATGATTGAAACCCTTTTTCAAGGGGATGATGGCCGATAGAATATTCAGAAAAAGATAGACTGTAGTTTGAATAAGCGATAGTTTGGATAGTAAGCGATAGTTTGGATAGTAAGTGATAGTTTGGATAATAAGCGATAGTAGTTGAATGAAGTGACGAAAAGAAGAGGATAGAAAAGAGAGAGAGAGAGAGTTCACCAGGTTGAATGCCACAAGTAAGTCACCCTGTGATGGCAGGAGACAACATGAATCTTGAGATTCTGTAGCATCACTCGCACTTTCATTTTGAATAATCACATTGCAATCTGCTATTACTGCAAAACTAACTTCTATATACAAGTACACAATTCAATCCGTCGCCCCTCCCTCCTGCATGCCTGCCAAAGCAGTAGTAAAACAAATATTAGGAAGAAGCATTTCTAGATAGTATGCAAGATAAGATCCCCTCCATGCAGTTTCTCCAACGGCGTATGTTGTAATGCAAGACTGTTTCAAGCTTTTTTGAGCTGTAGTGTGCCCAAAATCCAGAGTGGTTGCGTTGTATATAAAACATGTGTAAAGCTGGTTTCTTTTTTGGGGCTGTTCCCAAGTGTCCCACGCAAGTCAAGAAAAAAATACTCCAAACTCCTATATAGCTTCTTGAAGCGCCAGTAATTTTGAATGAGTCTTGTTCAAAAGATAAGAAAAGAAAGAAAACCCAAGTTCACACAACCGCCGACTCTATAGACGTCAGAATAATGCCGTCATCATGCAGATGCAAAGCAAAGCAAAGCAAACTCCAGTCGCTGAATGCTGTTTGACTTATTCCATATATTCCACCTCTTGAATTAGTATTATGGCAATAACGCCGGGCGACTTTAGCATAGGTCGTTTGTCAAATCACGCCTCTCAGCTTCGAGCAGAAAAGAATCCGCCAAAGCCAGCCTTGGACTGCTCCTTCTTCAGCAGCTGTTCAAGTCGCCTAGTCTCCCGAACTGCGGCCTCGCGGTCCTCCTGGAGGTTGAGGACTTCTACTTGAGCCATGTTCATCTTAGCCACGACCTCTTGCATCTCGTCCTCGGCTTCGGCAAGGGCCTTTTCAAGCTCAAGGACACGCGCCCGAAGCGTCTTCATATCGGCCTCTTCCTCGAGGCTCTTGGCAGGAATGGGCTTGGTGCTCAGCAGCGGCTTAGGGCCGGACTTGTGCGCAGAGGGATCAGAGGGGTCGGCCTGAAGGCGACGTAGCTGCTCATTGTGCGCCTCACGCAGTCTGGTAATCTCCTCTTCGTGGCGGACTACACGGTCCTCTGATGCAGTCTGGGCGGCGACGACCTGGTCCTCCAGAACACGAAGACGCTCCTGGAGCTCCGAAATGCGCTGCGAGTTGGTCTTGCGATCAGCCTCTCCCCTGGCGACGGCAGCTTCCAGACGCTCCCGAAGCTCGGAGTTGGTGTCTAGCTGCTGTCGAACCTGAGCTGTGAGCTGCTCGATGAGCTCGGCGGACTCTTTGAGCTGCTCTGCCAGAGTGTTGTCGGCTGCAACCGATTCGGCATCACTTGCCGCGAGGATATTGATCTGAATCTTTTGCTGGTCAATCTCCCTCCTGGCTGCGTCACGCTCCAAAACTGCGGCGGAGAGTGAGCGCTCCAGGCGTTCCATGGCCTCCTTAGTCTCCTCGTCAGAGTTAGAGTCCGCTTCCAGCTGGCGGATGCGCTCCAAAGACTCGGCGTATGAAGCCTGTAGCTCTGTGTACGCATTTCGGAGAGACTCGGAGGTAACGGGCTCACGTGCAGAGTCGCTAGAGCTGCTCTGGCGAGCAAGAGAGGGCGGAATCAGAATATCGTTCTCCTCGAGGAGACCACGGAGAGACTGAATCTCTTCCTCAGCTCGGTCAAGATCAATCTTCAGGCCGCCAAGGCCCTTTTCAACCTGCCATTTTTGCTCGAGAGCGTCTTCGGCGCGTCGTCGAAGGAGATTGATTTCCGTCCGCAGCTTGGACATATCCTTTTCGAAGCCAGCTTTTCTTGGCGAGACATTCGTGAGTCGCTGGCGCTCATTCTCCAGCATTCGAATCTTCTTCTGGTACTCTCGGTTTTGGAACTCGTGTCGTTCCAAGAGACTCTTAAGAGCGCCGTGAAGAGCATCACGCTGCTCTTCCACGTCTTTCAATCGCTCGAGCAAAGTATCTCTAGACTCTCCCTGCGTAGCAGCCTTGAAGCTATCGGATCTCTTGAGACCACCAACTCCGGGAGGTGCCCGGTTTCGAGGGTTTGCAACCGAGTTTGAGCGCCCAAGGCCCACTGAGTTCGACCTAGACAAGCCCCCGAGGCCAGAAAGGCCTGACAAGCCTATCACTGACATTCGCTTGGTGGGTAAGTCTTCCAAGCCGCCAGCCATGGAATTGCGCAGTGAGCTGTTCTCACGCTTCAGGGTGTGAAGCTCCTGCTGCATCCTGGAGGACTCATAAGTCAAATTAGCGTACTCGGCAGCCTCTGTCTCCAAGCCTTCGACTCGCGCCTTCAGCTCCGGAACGACCTCATCACGGAGATTATCTCGCTCATCGGAGGCTTCCTGCAGCTGACCCTTGAGGGCAGATAGAATGTCTTCAAAATTGGCCTTGGATTGGCGCTCTTCTGACAGCTTCCGCCTCAGTTCCTCGCACGTGTTCTCCAGTTCCTTGATGCGCTCGCTGGCGTCGATGTTGTTGATCTCGACCACATCCACTTCAGAAGCTCTCTCCTGAAGCTGCCTAATCTTCTGGTCGAGATCCTTCCGCTTTTCCCTCTCTTCTTGTAGTTTGGATGTCAGTTCAAGGCGAAGGGAGGCTTTCTCCTGCTCCGACCTCCTTTGAACCTTTTCGATTTCTTCTCGGCCCAATTCGAACTCGCCGAGCTTGGCTGTGCTATGACCAGAGTCGGAAAAGTAGTCGCTTGTTCTCTTGCTGCCGGCCGGCTGGGGGCCGCTGTTGATTTGCTCCTGGAGCCTGTCAGCCAGGTCTTCCAGGTCGATCTCGCGGCGGATAGATGCAGCCAGCTCGGAGCTGATGGCTTTCAGCTCTTCCTCCATCTCGTCGACCAAGGCTGTATTTTGGGAAATGTGTGGTGAGTGCGTGGAGAAGAACGATTCACGTTGTTGGGCGAGAGTTGATGTTGCATTGGGCTTTGTGTGCCTGGATGATAAGCTGTTCGTTGAACGTCGGTTGTCATTGGCCGAGCCTTTAGCGGTCGGTGACAAAGGAGACGGGGAGGGGAGGGACGAGAAATCCGTGACCGAAGGTGAAGGATTTCCCCAACCAAAAATAGACGCCAGTGGAGAGGTTGCGCCTGGTGAGCGCGGTAACGGTTTGTTCAGCTTGGGCGACCCGTCTATTGCAGCTGACTGTGGCGAGTCGTCTATGTATGTATCCGGCCCTTCACCTGTCCTTGCGGAGGGGTCGACTTTTTCTAGCCGTAGATGCGGAGGTGCGTGCTTGATTGGTGCTAACATGGGGGGAGAGGAAGGAGGATTTGAGTTGTCGTCGTAAATGGACTCGACGTCGGAGGTGGCGTCCGTGATGTGGTTGTGGTTGTGAGCTTTGACAGAAGCACCGTCGGGAGTGCCGTCGGGAGTCAGATCTGGGAGCAAATCGTCGTACACTGACAGGACATCAGAGAGCTCCGAGTCAGCTGTTTCAGCGAATGAAGGCCCACCGTGGGTGGAATTGTTTCCGGAGGCAGTGACTGTTTCGTCGTCGCTTGGCGCCGGCGCTGTTCTGGATTGGGAGTCTCTGAAGGGGATTGGAGTTAGATTCTGCACTCTTTACTTGGACAATGGCACGATGTGTCTGCTTCTATTCTAGACAGGGGTGTGTGTAATAGAAAACAAGAGAGAGAAAGAGGAGAAGAGGGAGGTGAGGTGAGGTGTGTGTAGGTGTGTGTCCGTGTATGTGTGTTGTAAGAGAGAGGGAGAGAGGAGAGATACTCACTGTTGAGGAGCTTGCACCGGGGCCTTGACAGAGGCAGGGTACTCGTAGAAGGTGGGACTATCGACGGATGGTGACCGCGCGAATCTGTGACCGGGCTTGGGCAGCTCGATGGTGGTGGTGTTAACCCGAGGCGAGCCCTGGGCAAGATACTGCGTGACAAGCGAGGACGACGCCGCGGTACTGGACACGGGCTTCCGCTTGATGGGACCGGAGAAGCGAAAGGGAAGAGAGGAGGCGACGACCGGAGAGATGACGGTGGGAGCAGATGTATCTACGTAGTCGAGCGTCTGGGAACGGCTGTGACTGGCAGAGATGCTAGTGCGAATGGCAGCCGGAGGAACAGGCGCGGCAATGGTGGTGGTTGCAGTGGTTGCAATGGTTGTTCCGGGGTCGACGTCGGTCTGGAGATGGAGATGATGGTGGTCTTCTTGGTGGTGGCCGTCCTGGTGGTAGCCTTGTTGCTGGTACTCCTGGTGGTACTCCTGGTGGTACTCCTGGTGGTACTCCTGGTGGTACTCGTTTTGGTAGTCCTGGTGGTAGTCGTCCTGGTAGTCCCTGTAGTACTCGTCGTCTTCCTCGTCGTCTGATTCCTCGCGAATGGTGCTATGCCGCAATGGCGATGGATGTGGAGAGGCCCGAGATGAAGCAGATTGTGTATCAGAGTCTGGCAGGATCGACGCCATGGCTCCGGGCCCGCTGGCAGGTTGCGATGCGACGTCCATGATATTGAACAGCCGTCGTGGGGGGTACGAGAGTACGAGCGCTAGCTGTCGGATCGGACAAGAATCCTATACTGGTACAGCACTCGTATACGAAAGAAATGGGCAGCAAGCGAGGTACGAAGAGCAAGCAAGAGGGCCGGCCACCAGAAAGCAACGCTCACGACACGAGTCTTAACGCCGGTGGCAGGTTAAAATTGCCCATGAATCGGATCGACTGAAAGGGACGGTTGGCGAAGAGAGGCAACGACGCAGGTCCAAGAAAAGAGCAGAGCCACTAACTCTACTCGTGGTAGGGCCCCGGAGCAAGAGGGGGGGTTTGGAGTTAGGCCCGTCTTAGTCGGCGACGGTGAGCCAAAAGCTGCTGGGAAAGGGGAGAAGCGAGGCTCGAAAAAGGCATCCAAGGCTGTGGGGCAGGCGAGGGTTTGTGGAGGTTGCATTTCAATTGATTGCTTTAGTATGGATAGTGCCTGGGTAATCTACCCCCCTGGTTCTGGTTCTGATGAGGACCGTTGCTTTTCTACCTGTTACTTTACTGCATTCCGTCTGGGTTTTTTGGTTTCTTTTGTAATAGGTATGGTCTAGTATATGATATGGGATGGATGAGCATTATTAGCGCCTCTTCATGCTCTATCTCATCACTCCTCCGTCCTGATTGGCGAGCAATCGACGACCCGTCATCTCACGATGCCAGCTGATCAGATAGCATATGCACGTATGCGCCCAGCCCTCAATCGCCGAAGCTGACGGGCATTTCGGCTACTAGAAGCGCGCAATCAAGCATTTTGCCAAAAATAAACGCCCAATTGGCCGAGTGTGCACAGCCTGATGCCATTTTTCGCATGTTCCAAGCACAGTCTCTCTGCACTAGGTTGCGCTCCAAGAAGCAAATAAGGAGGTCCAGTCGAATTGCGCACGTTGGCGAGCTCCTTGAGCCAGGGCCATGATTTCGCCCCGGTACCTGCGCTAGCGCTCCTTGGCCAGGGGAACACAGCGGCCGCTAGTTCAACGTTGGCTGTCCAGAGGCCCTGACTGACGCGAAACATTGAAGCAATAAGGTCCAGGTACATAACGGTTGAAGCTTTCACAGATGCAGGTACAGGTACAGGTACAGCTGGGGATTCGGCGGGGCCTGTATGTCCTCTATGGTCCATATGTGCAGAACAGCAAGTATAGGCGAGCCGGATCAATTTCAGCCGCCCCTTGCGCCAAATGCGCGTGCGAACGAACATAATAAAGGAGCGACATTGGACGCAGCTGGCATGCAAGCAATTTGATCCACCTCACCGAGTTTCTCTGCCCAGTGGTTCCAGGTACAAGCACATACTCGTCCAGGTAAAGTGCCAACCTGAATGGAACACAGAGTTTTGGCTGGTGTTTTAGCGCCCTGTCTTGCATGAGCCACTAGCTGCAATGCATGCAGGTACCAAGTCGGACAAAATGCTGAATGGGGCACCGACTCTCAACTCGTCAATTGCAATTGGATGTACATTTGATGGTTCAATGTTGCAACTTGTGAAATACCACGGGGAGCCTTATCTCGCCTACAAACCTCCCCAGCGTCAATGCGGCCAGCCGTCAGCAAATCGGTGGCGCGTATGCAACAAGCATCAATCTTCAGGCAATACAAGGGCGAGTACTAGTACCTGGTTGCATCGGTGTATTGGCGCGCGGAAAGGGATCAATCAATTCAATTGGCTGCCCGCGGTAATGCTACCCTTTCGCTTCTCACCTTCGGTGGCGGGCCATACAATCGACTGGCTGGGACAAACTCCAGCCTTTGCCGCCCCGGCCATTTTCTCAACCTGAACCTCAGGAATTGATTTGGTCATCTTCACAAGGGCATCCACATCCACTTAAAAACAACCAGGGCAAATCAAGCCATCTTCCATGTTCGAGGCGCCTCACTGCGCGCCTGGTGGCCTCAGCGCGATCGCATCCCCTTAGCTCAGTAGATGGACGTTGGCAGTAATTGCTTAGTATTTTGCCAGTGCGCAATTTCAAGACGACATAATATTCCGTGAAGCCAAAGCTTTACGCAAAGGTTTGTAATTAACTACTAGGTATCTACTCTTGGATACGCATTTCGTACTGATCCCCTGATACACTCCCCTCCCTAAATGAAAAGGGTGCATACAAACCACCACCTGTTCTTTGGGCGTGAGAAGGGCCGGATTCTCACCTATTCTCAGCCCGCCAGTTGCCCAACTAAGCACTCCATCAGGTCAACCTGCAGCGGCGTTGTCCGTCCAAACTCTCCTACGAAATCCCGTTGGTCATGACAAGAGTTTTAGTCGGGGATTGTTAGTTGTCTATTCAGGCAAGGTTAGTATAGTAGGTGGTAGCATCTTGGTTCCAGTTGGGCAAAATAGTCCCCCAAAGTAAGATTACCTCTGGAGCCAACATGAACCATTGAAATCCCATCCCCCAGCAAACAGCATCATCTCCAGCGAGCGAACAAACAAGCCTATCGAACACCCAAAAAGGGACCCTGCGAGATTAAAACCCCCAGATTCCATCTATCCCCAGGCACCCAATTTAATCTCATCACCCCAAAAGGGGCATCCAGCCCGTCACATCACCAACTCAAAACGGGCACACACTGACGGCACGCCCGCTGCTCCCTTCCTCTTCCAGCTGGCCTCTTCATCTTATCTTGACCTGATGATCACGTCTAGTTTGCGTCTAGCTTTGTAAATCAGCCATGGACTAAGTCCAAGAGCGCCGATGTGACACAAGGTTATGGTGCTAGACCTGTTCTTGTCCAGTCTTTATGCGCAGTAGATTGCACAGATCGCCGTTAGACATCGGGCCTCTTGAAATGACCTCTTGCGCTTCTCGGCAGTTGCGGGACATTTTTTCTTTGTGCGCGAGTCGTACAGAGGCATTTATCATGTACACTCTAGTTTGGCATGCAAGCCGTATCATCCGATGATAGTGTAGAGGCTGGGTCTACCAATACACCAAGGTGCTACTTGTACATCAAGAAGAAATAGGCCAGGAATTGGTTCAGTTAACCATGTTGACAATACCATCTTGACATTCCCAAAGAAGTCAATAATTAAACGTATATGTATCCCTTCTATCAATATCAATCTACCTCTCGCCTAGAGCCCCATATAGACAAACAGGCAAAACTCCATCTGTAAAACTCCAAACCCCAATGATTAGATCGCCGCTCGTCCCATAAGCAGAACGTTTTTTTATCCCATGACCAGTTGTAAACGAATCCCATCAAGATACCGATGCCCTTGGTTAGTTCACATGGTTCAAGCGTGTCTTACAAGATCAGCTTTCCCTTTGGCAACAATGCCCATAACCCACCGCAAGCACATTTGCGCTGCTGCCCCAATACGAAGCTGTACCCGGGACGACTCCCGAACACGTCTTCCATCACACAGGCACAGCGGGTGCATCTTCTCCATTGTTGAGCCCCGAGCTTCATCTCCACCCTTTTGAACAGGTCGACGTAGACAAATCTCGAGCCGTTACGCGCCAAGCTAGACTCGTCGTCTTGGACGCCGAGAAGATCGTAGTTTGCAAAGAAGAGCTTTGAAGGGTCGCAAAGGGCCCTGAATGCAGGGAGTTCTTTACTAAAGAACTTCTTAATGACAGGCAAGAAGGGTGCCGGCGGCCCTGCAGCCAAGAGCATACTCAACTCCACCTGAACCTGCGCTGCCTTAACAGCCAGGTCGATTTGCTTTCCCTGGGGGTTTTGACTTGAGCTTTTAATCATGTTTGGCAGAAACGCCTGGTATGCCTGCCGAACGTCCCCACCGAGGACGTTGAGCAGCTTCTCAAAATCGGCGACTTTAACGAGGCTAGATGTTGTAATATGCTGCATCTTTTGGTAGGCTTGCTGGAGCTTAGGATTGGACATCTTGGGACCGCCTGTTTGGTCCATATTCGCCGACTGGCCTCGGTAGAATTCTATCGCCCGTTCGCTCAGAGATTCCAGATGAGCAATCCTACGGCAGACACATATAAGAAAGCTCCTGCTTGATGACGAGAGCAGGAGGTGCAGCGATACATCGTTTCGTTTTTGAAGATATGGCGTCACCTCTCCAAAACGCTTGGGCTCCAGCCTCGCTATGAACTCACTGTCGTTCATCAGTGAAAATAGGCTGTCAGTGAGCCATGACAGCAAATCTAGAGACCATTTGGCGCAGCCGGCTAATGCTTCTACAACCTCTATCGTGGCGTGTTAGTATACCGACAATAATAATTTGCCTCAGGGCACGAAGAGGTGAAAACTTACCATGTTCATCCAGGGGACTCATCTTCTCCCGCACTGTTACAGGTGTGTTGATTGCGAGGGTGATGAGAACGACGACGTTGCGCACATTGAGGTCAATCATGGCAAACTTGCCCTGGAATGTCCTGGGATGTGTCTCCCCTTTAAACCCCAAGCTATTCATGAAGCTCAGGCAACTCTGAAGCGGTGTGTTCCTCATAAGCAAATCATGGTGAAGTTCTTCAGAGTAATCGACTTGAATCTTGAGGACCTTGATGATCTCAGTGATCCAGTCGTGAATAAACCGTCTCTTGGATGTATACGGCGCTACAATGGCGAGCAAGTCGTCATAATTAGCCTGATGCCACAGGGCAGACGCAGCCGCTACCGTCAGGCCGGCTATTGTGGCCCCGTAACGGACCTCTTGGAAGGAATTTCCAATGTCGCCAAGCGGATATTGCAGCTTGCACCATTTGATTTTCCCTTCATCTGACATCTGGACCATGGAGCAGTGAGTTGGGGAAAAGGCGACCTGTTGGCATGATCCTTCCTCGCCAAAATTCCAGCCAACTTGACGCAAGTTCATTACTTTGTTGGTATCTTCTGTCGCATAGACTTCTTCAAAGGTAAATCGATCTCGGTATTCAACGGTACCGTCAGACATGGTCAAAACCAAGAGTTTTCCGAACTGGGCGGGCTGAAAACTAATCAACACCTTGTTAATCGTAATCGGTTCCAATTTTCGCAGCCGCGTATAGGCCGTCTGCTCTGTGACTTCGCTGTTCCTTCGATTTCCCAGCTGCTCAAAAGCTGGGTGAAGGTTGTGGCGCTGTTCGCTCACCGCTTCCCAGCGGTCAATAATGGTCTGAGCGGTTTGATAGGATCCAGAGGTGGGTGTGCGCGTCCTGATGGCGATAATCATGGGCGAGACGGTGCTTTTGCCAGTATTATCAATGATGGAAGGGAGAACGTGCAAGTGAGATAGCTCTGCCATGGAAGCATCATTGCCGGCATCCCCGGGTCCCGTCTGCAGCCACGTCGTAGCAGCGAGATGCTTTTCGACCAGCGAAGGGCTAAGTCGAGCGTTCTGTGGCAGAGGGTTTTTGTCGGGTTGCGAACCAGGACCGCCCCATTGAATCTCTATTTTGAGCAGCCTGAGCTGCTTTGATGAGGTCGCAACAGCAACCAGCAGATATCCTATCAAGATGTTAGCAACAATCATCCATAAATATAAAGGATGCTAGTCTCAAGCCTTACTTTTGTCGGAAGCAAGAGCCGCATGCGTGACCAGCTCGTCCAGTGAGTTTACACTCTCAAGCTCCATCGTAGTCTCTTCCATTCGATTATTGTTTTGTGACCAAAACATTTTCAGCATGCCGCTGATTGTGACGCAAAACAAAGCACTCTTTGATGAATGGGGGTGGCTTGGCCCGCCGGCGTGAACAAAGGAGCTCTCATACTGATAGCTATTGCCATTTCGAGTTGCTGGTCCATACATGATGTTGTACGATTTCTTTCAAAGAGTTAGTGCCTCGAGTTATCTTAATACTCAGACCTGGTGTGCTCACCTGCTGGTTCTGCGGCGCTACTGCCAGCCAATGTGCCCCCACCACAGCGTTTGCATCGTCGATAGAGTCTGTGTCGTACTTCCTCGTGATGAAAGGGTGGTTGAGAGATATGGAGAAGCTAACTATCACAACTCTTCCCACCGCATCAATGATTGCAAGCTCTGGGACGTTGGTTGACCCCCACTCCAAGTGAACCAGGGGAATACCAGAAGATCCCTTGATAAGCTCACATGTCGTCGGCTTGCTAAGGTCCCACGCTCCGTCAGCCGGGTCGCATCGCAAGAAGCGGAGCTGCAAGAACTGGCCGTCCGGCGTGATAGTTGCAACCGTTCCGGATTTCGACCAGGCTATAGTCCTGAAGCTCTCTGTCAGCCACAGCCATAAACATAGCGATGGGAGAAGGGATATACGGATACGCACTGGCAGCAGCCACGGCTTCTCACATCATCCACCTTGAGTGAAAGCGGCCTATCATGCGATCTATCGGGAAGCGACAGGCCGACGCCATCGCCAAAAAGATCATCCACGTCGTTTAGATCGACCGGGACGGCGTTATCCAGCATAAGGGGCATTTTTTCCTCCGTCATTGGAACGATGCGTGTATGCGCAAGCGAAGGCTAGCGAAGAGCCTACGACCGGACTTAGGGCGGTCAAATTGCCTACAGTGGGCAGGGAGGCGCGTTGAGAAGGCGTAGCAATGATTCACGAACGCGAGACGGTCTATTATACGTGCGTGGCATGGAAAAGTGTTCTAACAGGCAAAAGCCCGGGCGCAGAAGAGATTGGCCAATATGAAAATGCATATAAGCAGGATGAGGCTCACATGAAGGTCCAAGTTTCAGTGAAGAAAGGTGATACTGGCGCTGGGTCGGATGAACTTCGGTATAATTGAATTTGTACCTGCCTTGCTGCCCACCTTGGGCAGATGCAATCTGCCTACCCTGGAGAAAACAGGGTCAAACTCGTATCCAACTGTTTGATTTTCTTGATATACCCTTCAATATATCAACTTACACTACCTCGGTGATATATTATAACGGTTATCATTGCCGATGTTCCTTGCCGTTCCGTGAGGCCGACTCTTCCCTCATAACTCCTCTTTGGGGTAGGTTGACGTAATGCGTAAAGTAAGCAGAGACTATGACAGTGCCACACGCATAGCATTGAATCATTGGATACATGTAATATTAAGTTTTGAGTTGCTGCCGCTTTACCGTCCTTCGGTGCTTCGTAGAAATTCCAAGGCCCGAGGTACAGTATCTTATTCGTTATTCGTCTCAAGTTTCTCTACTATAAATGCAGTTGTTCTATACCTATGTTTAACAGATAGGCTTCTTTGATATACATCTCATTGGCAAACGAATCTTCATCATGAGATCCATCTCCGCAACTACATTGTTTCTGCGACAGCTAAGGCCTTTAAGCCAAGGCGCTCGGGCTGCATCATCCTTTACACAGTCACAAGGATACAGGAACAGACCGTTAACCTATTTGCTGGTTGGGTTACTGCTTGGAGGCGCTTCAGCGTCTACACTAAAGCTCTCGTCGGTATCCAACCCAAATGGGAATACAGCACCAAGATGGGGTGAATCAACCAGGCCGTCTAAATTACAATCCAAGTATGCTGATAAAAAGACAATGATGAAAGTAGGTTGAGTGGATAGATACATCTCATCTATATATATAAATCAAGATACTAACAAAATATCGGCAGGCTGTTGACGAGCTTCGTCGTGAACTTGGAGATGAAGCAGTGAGCACCGATCCAGATGATCTGGAATATCACGGCTATTCTGAAATTTCAACGTCAAATACGGATGAAAGGCCATTTGCCGTTGTGCGACCACGGTCGACAGAGCAAGTGTCTGCAATCGCAAAGATATGTACCAAATATAAAGTTCCAATGGTGCCTTTTGGAGCCAAGTCCAGCATGGAGGGGAACTATAGCTCCCCCTTTTCGGGCATATGCATCGACATGTGCGAGATGGATAAGATAGTCGAATTTCACCCGCAAGATATGGACATCGTTGTGCAGGCTGGGGTCAATTGGACGGTATTGAATGAAGAGATCAAAGACACTGGCCTCTTCTTGCGGCCTGACCCAGGCCCAACCGCCCTCATCGGGGGAATGGTGGCCACTAACTGTAGCGGAGCCAATGCAATGAGATACGGTGCGATGAAGGATTATGTCGTCAATTTAACAGTTGTCTTGGCCGATGGCACCATTATCAAAACAAGACACCGACCAAGGAAGACGTCAGCCGGATACAATCTCAACTCCTTGTTCACTGGATCAGAAGGGACTCTCGGCATCATCACTCAAGCCACGCTCAAGTTAGCGGTGATACCGACAAATCTCAGTGCCGCCGCTGCAGCCTTCGGATCGGTTCATCAGGCTGTGGCAGCCGCGTCCACGATGATCCGCTCGGGCCTCCCCTTGGCCGCCTTGGAGCTGATGGACGATCAACAGATGCGGAGCATAAACAAGAGCAGAAGAACCGCTAGTAGGATGTAGGAAGAGAACCCAACCCTTTTCTTAAAGTATGTGTTATGCCAGCATCCCCTTTACAGTTGATGAGATCATCAGTATGTCTGACATGTGGGATCAGATTTGCAGGTACTGAAAACTCTATGAAGGATAGTGTCAAGGCGGCACAAGCCATATGTCGTACACACAGCGCCAGAACTTTTGACAGTGTATATGGAGAAAAAGAAATAGATTCCCTTTGGTCAGCTAGAAAACGCGCGCTTTTCGCGGCAATCGCGGAGCAGCCAAAAGGCGCCATGGTTTGGGGCACAGATGTTGCTGTGCCTATATCCCGTATGGCTGATCTGATCGGTAAGTTCAACAAATCCACTTGTATTACAACTCGCTTATAGTTCTCTTTACATATGGACAGAAGAGTCCAGGGCCAAAGCGACGGGCCTCAATCTCTGGAATAGCGTGCTAGGACATGTGGGAGACGGAAACTTTCACCAAGCAATGTTCTATCTCCCCAACGATGCCATTGGCAAGAACAAAGTAGCAGAATGCGTAGATACTATGGTGAAGAGGGCAATTGAGATGGAAGGAACTGTATCAGTAAGTTGACTGTACCGTGTCTTTCGTCCCCCTGTTGCATTACTGACAGTTCATGGTAGGGCGAGCATGGTATTGGCATTGGGAAGAAGGTAATGTAACACGTTCATCTGAATTCTCTCTGCACTAATCTAATAGATGATTAGGACTGTCTTCTCAAGGAGCTGGGCCCGTCAACAATCGGGGTCATGAAGGCTGTGAAGGATGCACTTGATCCGCAGTACGTTTTTTGTGTTCTTATTTTTGGTTTCAATCCTGCTGACATGACATTACCTAGTTGGTTGTTAAATCCGGGAAAAGTATTTGATGAATAATGAAGATGATATTCGAAGTGTGGAGAGTATCTTGACTTCCTGCTATTTTGAAAGAATTTACAACTACATTTAAATCCTGTAAAAGCTCTTTATAGCCTCCAATCTCCTTGTGTTGCAAGTCAAACACGTGTCTTATGCACTACAGTGTTATTCTGGATGTGATGTATATCTTGTGTTCTAGAAGGCCACCACAATGCCTCAATTTGGCCGCCAGGGACCCCTTTTCTCATCAACTCCTATACCTCTGTTACTAAAGAAGATAGAGATAATTGCAAGATTTGCTTTAGTGGCAAAAGATGCGAAAGGTGAGCTTAGCGAGGACCCTGAACTCGGATGCGGTTTTCGCTATAGGGGGGCGGGATCTATGGGCTGCCTCACCAACGGCGCTCCTACTCTCGCCATTTGAGGAGCATCATGGGAAATGAATATGCGCAACACTACATGACGCACGTGTTCACGATGCCGAGACATATCGCCCGAATGCCCCGTCAGTCGATCCATACATGCACGTATCACACCAAGTGGATCGTAGACGCTAAATAGACGACAGCAAATGCCGCCGGCTTGGAATCCGTAACCAGCGAGTCGAGTTGCGGCACCTCATTAGACTCCCTGCACGAGGACTCCATAGACTTGCCGAGAAGCCATTATATCCGAGTAGAACCGCCCTAGCATGTCGGAGCGATAAAGGGAAAGTGAGCGGGAGAAAAAAAGGGTCTAATGCACATGTCAAGATGGTACAAAGGGTAGTACGATTGTACGAGTAATAGTGACGGTGTCTCATACGTATGAGATGTCATCAACGCGGAAGAGAACGAGCGTTGCCGTTGATCGACTGCTGATCTGACAATCAGGGCTTGCAGGGACCTTGTGATAAACTTCTGGAAGGCCGGAAGTGCTCCATGCTGCTAATTCCCGGATGGATCGACGACTCTGGACTGACTGATGTGTTACCTGTCTTCCGTAGTCCGTACTCTGTAATTGTGATCGCCTGTTTAACGCCGTTGCTTCGTCATAGCATGAATTTGGCGCAACAGACGGAAAGGGTCCATGCTAGTACTGGTGGCACAAATATAGCAGCAAGGCAAATGAGACGGCCCCGGCACTCAACCCACTGTATTCTTTATGTTATCTGCTCAATGCTCTTTTTGGCCTTTTGAGAGAAGGATGAAAGCTGTGTTATGAGTATGGCAGCCAACATCGATAGAGAGGACGATGAAGAGACGCGCTGATGGTGAGCGTTTTCGTTGGATTTTTGATGGCCAAGTAAGTGAATGAAACCGGACAAAGAGCTATATCGAATCCGACGCGTCGCAATCATTGTCATACGGGTACGAAATACCTACTTTCCCATGTTCTGTAATGCCCAGCGTACACAGTAGAGTGCCTGACTTCCACTGCTTGATCCCCCACATTAAGACGTCGGACCAGGGCCGTCTGATGGGCTTAGCTTTCAGGTAACAGAAGCGGCCGGTGTGTGCGGTGAACCGTGCATGGGGTTGATGAGAAGAGGCACTGATCGGCAGCATGTTGGAAAGGCAAGGCCTCCTGGCGAAGCGTATTTAAGAGGAGCCGTTGCGAAGCACATGGCTTGTATCGTACTTCACATTTGGCTGCTAACTATGCGCGCGTATAGGTAATGACATACAATGACAGTTCGCCATCAATGATGCGAGATATCTGCAATCTGCAATCTGCAGCAAAAAGGAGCAGTATCAGAGGCATAATTTCATCATGCCCGACGCCGTGACGCGCAAGGGATGCATATCATATCATCTCAAGGTGTTGTCGCACAGCATTCCCTCCATTAGTCGTGACCGTTTGACAACAGCCACTTCCCATTCATTGCGCCAGGGGCAAGGGGCCCATATCGGCCACTGTCTAAATCTCTCGTCAATTTCCGTCTTGATATCGTGTGTGTTCTGGGCTGTGGGCTGTGTGTTAGCGGCGGTTATAGCCTCGTCTAAGCCGAGCGGGTTTCGTCAAGAGAACGATGGTTCCTGGATACCGACGAAAAGAGAGAAAGAGGATGCAGGGGCTGGCGACAAACGACTTTCGCTTGCTCGTACGCTCCCATGTTCCCATGCTTGCCCCCCCGCCAGGTCCCTGAGCCACCAAAATAAGCACGCTTCTAGCTTGCCGTAGCCTCGAGATATCATGGATGGTGCGGAGGACTAGGTCTGAAGCGGATACGGCGCCGCCCACAGAGCCCTGGCGCGGTGCAGCATTCTGATTGCCCGATTTGTCGTCATATAGCGCCTCGAGTAAGGACCAGATGCTTGTCTGATGATAGGTATGGCGACACTGGTGGTGGTTGTGATATGGTGTGCCTGTTATTCTGCCTATTCCTCCACTATTAATCCCTTCTCCTGGGGGTCGAAGCTTCAAACCTTCGTCAACAGTGCATGAAACTCCCAAATTCACCCTCTTCTAAGCTAGGCAAGAGAATGTGACAAGTGATTCCTCCATTACTCATGCGGACGCGCATGATCATGAGCGCCATCACAATGGTATTAGCCAGAGTTTTTCATCCAGAGCGACACAGTCACAGTCCAGCAATGGTGCGTGATACAAGAGGGCACTCTACATAGGCGCTGCTGCTAGCACTGACTGCCCCCGCCATCCGCCACCAATCCCGTACCGACTTCACTCACACATTTGCACAACCCCAGCCTGCACAATCTCGCGGCCTCTCCACTGCAAATCATTCGCCCCTGGTCGCCAAGATAGAGAGCTTTGGCCAGCTGGTAGCTCGAGCCAGAACCAGCGCCAGGATTCGTCGTTGGAAAAGCCGCTGGCTCCAGAGGGTTACGAGCAGCCGTCACATCTGGGGCAGCAACTGACAGAGCTAGAAACGGCCGAGCGACAGGGGGGAATTGCAGCCGAAGCCAGGAACACAACGTGGGCCGCGGAGTCGCTTATGGCTATGGGCCTAATATGGCTATGGCTATGGATATCCATGGCTATGGCTGGACGGTCGATACTGGCTGGCTGGCACTGGCTGGCGCTTCTGTGTGCGGTGATGCTAATATGCTAATACTACGAGTACCCGCGATATGCCATGCCACTCCAACTGGCGACGAAACCGACCATCTTTCTTTCCTCCTCCCTCACGCGGTTTCCGACAATTCCCATTTTCCATCCTCACTTTCGAATTTTAAAGGCAGAAGAGTACTGGCTTAACGCGTGTGCTTTCATTATTACTCAGCGCGGAAGCTCTGCTCGTCGCCTGCCTTTCGTTTTGCCTCTCACGCCGGAACTTAGTTAAGCTCCTGGCTCCAAAATCTCAAGTCATGGCCCCCATATCAGCAATGGCGCCCGCTGGCGCTCAATCTACAACTCTTTCGAGTACTGGCAAATCTTTGAAAAGGGGAATGAGCCTAAGGAGAGCTTCTACCCAGCGTCGGCCACGAAACCAGCAGCAGCTTCCTGCTCAGTTCTTGCAGCCTATGCAAGGGCAACGGGACGGAGATGAAGACGAAGACACGATAACCTCTTGCCATCCCAGTTTTCAGACATATCGACACCGAGACCGCCAGAGCCACTACATTGATCCGCGACAGCAGATGCTGCACCTGCCAGACTCACAACGGCCCGCGTCTTCCCGTAGCCATATGCGAGACTGGAATCACCAGAGAGAACGGAGCCGAAGCCCTTCGTCTTCTAACAAGCTGCCGCCACCCGACAGTTTGTTGCAGCAGCCCCAGCCCGAATACTACAGCAGTCTCCCGTCGTCCGCGAGCCTGACAAGTGAGGAATTCGAAGCACTGCCGCCTACAGTTCGAAGAAAAGTAAGTGGCTATTCTCTCTCACGTTCATGCTGTTATCGTTGCTTTCGATCCATCCATGGGGTGGTGAAAAGTTGTCTCAGCGATGTCCTTGTACACCGACTTTCGTTTCGTTTCGTTTCCTTTTTTTAAAGATGGCATGTCCCTGCATTCATTCCAAGAATGCATTTCCCCCTTGTGTTTTCAAAAGGCTCTTGGGGTGTTGGGCAAGCGACAGGACCCGCCAGCTTGTGTCGCAGATGAATGCATAAAAAGAGGTCAGAGAAAGACGAAATGAGAATGAGAAACAGGGCCAACAGCACAAGGTGTTGATTGGATCTGGACGTCAGAATGCATTGCCTAACAAGAGCGGATTCTGTCTGTTTTAAAGCTGGCTGGTTTCATGCGTTGTCTGACTTGGATGATCGAATTGCCCATTGCAATGCTAGCCAATCGGCTGTATCGCACATACGGTTCCCTGGTCGACGGAAAGCCTGACAAGTGTCGGAATAACTCTGTCTCGCATCTCAAGGGATCACCGACGAAAGCAGAGCATGGGTTGGCAGAAACCTGTTGGTTGGGACCAAACAGCAGGCGATCTTCTCAGTCTTCGTCTCATCCTCTGTCCCAATGCCTCACTCTCTGTCACCGTCTTGTTCCCTTCACAACTGTGGGATTTAGCCTGGACGGCGGGATGCGATGCATCATGCAATGCAATGCAATGCACCTTCGTCTTGCACTCACTAATTCCGGTGACAAGCCAATGGCGTCGGAACGGCTGAATCCGTCCCTGGCATCCCAGCACACTAGTGTCGCGTCGCCCCGCGAGCGACCTCGTTTGGGTGCCATGGCGCTTGTAGGCCGTCTGCGGTGCGTCCAATTGAATGCTTCCAGCGATGTCTAGCTGCTTGCTTGATTGATCCGTGGTGGTGGTTTGCCAGTTTAGCTCGAGTGAGCTCCTCTGAAATCCATCAAACGTGGCTCTATTGTGATATTGGCATCGTCACCAGCCAACCAACGTGCCAGTCCACGATGAAACCAGCCTACATACATGGGCCGGAAGAGGGAGTCTTGTCGTGTCAAGAAACTGGCGAGAGCATAGACACTGCAGTGTGTTTTGAGTCAACATTGTGTGTGTATGTGCTCCGTACCTGGCTCCGTACCTGGCATGAGTTTGTCTGCAGGGCGAAGGCCGCTTTACTGTACTCATACCGCAGCCCCCTGATCAATGTGCGAGTGCACCCAAGCCAACTAGCATTGCTGCTAGCATCACTGCTTTGTCCGTATTGGACTTGAAGCCTCCCCACCTCGCCATGGTTCTTCGTTCCAAAGTTGAGACATGCCATCCTCGTTCGAGCTAGAACAGCTCTGAGTTCATCCGACTACGGATACGCCTTTCAGGTAGTCGCCTCACTAGCTTCTCAATAACACCCATAGCATTTCTCTTATATACATGCTTGCTTGGGCTGCCCCTTTTATTGTTTCTTTGGCCGATGTCTCTTATTTTATTTGATTCTATTTCTGGGCGATAGCATTCTGACATCTCTCTTTTTTTGCTCCAGTATTTTTCGACCTTGGAACGGCTGCGCTTTGCCCAGACCTGTTGTGCTGGACATTCCGATCAGCCCTGCGGCCATTCGACCTCGACTTTCGCAAGCGACGAAGATATCTGTCAGCCGGGATCCAAGTTCGAACTTGCCTTCGATCCCTCCATCTCTGGATCACATCAACAGCCGCGCGTTCGATCGAGTTCCGCTCGCCTATACCCAAACCACGCAGATACGCTTCACGGACGACCAGCGGACAACGGAGAGAGACAATCGAATACGGCCAATTCACACCATAAGAGCATTATACTGGATGCTACCGACGAAGCGTTTGTCAAGATAAATAAACGGCAATCACAACTTCCCAAATTAAGCAGCCATCTGAACGAACCCTTTTATCACGAGCTGCATCCCATCATGAGTAGCTCGCCCAACAACGAATTTACACAGGCCATGGCCGCTGAGGCCACACCGGATTCAATCATGGAGAACTTCCGATGGCTTGATGAGAGTGATGACTTGGATCTTCGTCTAGATGACTACCAGTCGAGTCCCAAACAAGGAAAGAAGAAGCGAATGCCTTTCCCTCGCCATCTATCTATATCAAAGCTGTCTTTTGGACGCCCATCTTCTCAACTGAACCGTCCACCGACCAAGGGAACCATGGCCTCTCCCGCATTGAGCGAGCAATTTGTAGTGCCTTCTCTACCAAGCCCCTCTGGCCACTTCCGTCGGAGATCCAGAGCTCTGTCTCTCATGTCACCAAACAAGGGTCAAATGCCTGATGACTCTGGAGCCACTGACTCCGCTCCATCTCACTACCAGGATCCCGAAGCTCGCATGAAGCTCCGTGTGTACCTTGCGTCTCCGCACAAATTTGATGAGGCCGTTGAATTTGGGTTCCCATCTCTCTACGACACACAAGGGAGGGAAACCTCTCAGACTCGATCGTGGTCACGCCAAGAGTCTTATGACAAGATGCATAGCTCAACTGGCGATGATGCGGAGTCCCTCATTAGTGATCCCACTTCACCTGTCGAAACAGTCTCTCCGAGAACGCCAGAGAGCTTGGATCATCCGCCTGTTGAGCATTCGCCGCGACTACCACATGAAGGAGCCTGGCCTTCCAAGGTGGACTATGCTCAAGCGCCAGCATCATCCCGCGAGATGACACTGCGGATGACCCTGACACGGCCTGATCTTCGAGCCGACGAAGAGCAGATGTATGGCTGGCAAAAACCATCGTCATCCAAGGGGCAAGCACATGACGGATCTGCTCAGCCAAGATCATACTCTCGAGCCTCCAATCCCAAAGACAATATTGAAAGGCAATTTGCCATCATGGACCAAGAAGCTGCCAGCAGCGATGACAACATGGTAAAACGCTTCTGGAACCGAGTCCGCCGTTCATGAGGGCACTTATTAATGTTACGTTGACTGGGTTGGATTCACTCTATAACTCAGTTCTCGAATTACAGGCGAAGAAAGCATTTCATCAAGAAGAAAGCTGTGATTCGCCTTTTCACTCACTCACTACAACATGCCATTACCTCCAAAATTATACCTCTCATTATAGCATACAGCATGCATCACATATACCCCACTGTCCTTTTTGTCGTTCATTTACAATATATTCTCTTACAAATTTTGTCATTCTCTTTGTCGTTTAGTATGAGAACATATACTGGGGGGAGCCAAATCTTGTTTGGCTGTAATCTGCGGAAGGAAAAGCAAGTCACGACCACACACTCATTTTACTTTATCTGGCATAACAAGAAGCGCTCTATTTCTGGCTGGCGTTTTAGGATTAGGACTACTGGATTGATTGAATTACTTGGACGGAAAGCAATTTGCCGAGCGCGAGGATCTTTGTTATTGACGAGCGATGGGATGGAATTGTAAAACTCATGAGGAGCCTTGGCGAGGGCTGATATAATATATTGCGTCCTTATTATTGATGCTGTTGTCGAACAATCACCAATGGTCTTTTTTCACTTTCCCCTTGCTCTACAAGTGACTTTTGCTCCCTCGTGTACTCGTATGACCTATTTTCCAAATGCGCTTGTTTTTTTGAGTTTTTCAGTTCGTCCACATGACGATCGGTCTTGTTTCGTTGCTGAGATTTACATGGACTAGGACTTTTAGCCCAATGCAAGGGAGAAGACAAACACGAGCAACACACGCGTTGAAGCCCATGTGCGCCTTATTTTTGACGCTCTCTTATCTTATTACATACGAGTACACGTTGCCAGATACGCTAATAATGCCCATGCTCCTTTTTTTACTTTCTCGATCGATCGCCGATTTGGAGTCCTAGCTTTGAGTCCTACGTATGTAAGAAGATGGGACGAGCGGGAAGGGGATGTAAGGGGAGGTTTGAAGGGATAACAAGGGGCGGCATTTGGAATTCCGGGGTCTTTTGCGTGTGTGCCTTTTATTTACGCCTTGCTTTTTGTTTCTAGTTTTTTATTGAGTTGTGAAGATGAGAGTTATGTGATGTGGATGTGGTGGTTTGTATATGTATGCCTCTGTGGATGTCTTGGATAAGGGATGAATTGCAATTGCCAGCTTGAGATGCGTTTGAATTGCAATTTAGGGACTGTTGTTTGGCGGTAGGTAGATGGATCAAAGGATAGATGGGTGAATGGATGATTGGTTCATCTTTTGGTTGAGTAAACATGTCTTTGTGTACGAATTGTGTATACTCTGTACAACAGGATACATGGCTTCATTCGCCGCTCATTTTGCATAAAATAGGAAGTATTGAAGCATCTCTCCTATATAACATGTACAGTATCCTAAAAATAGCAATGGAACCTCGCTAATTAAAAGAGATCACAGCAAGCAGCTATAATCCCAACACACATTTCTCCTCCGCACCAGTAAATCTTTTTGTTAAGTTCCCGCAACAGAAGCCGCCTATTTCATACACTTCCCGTATACCCTGTTGTGCCTCGCTTGCCTCTCTCTTTCTTGCCTTTACACCTCCTCATCGCTCTCCTCACCAAGGAGCTCGCCTTCATCATCCACAATCGAGTAGTCTCCTCGTCCACGCGCAAAGCTGTCGCGCGTCGTGAACCTCCTCGCGCCTCTTGAGAACCAGCTGCCATCGCTCCTCTGGCCGAACCGCCCAAAAGAGCTGCTTGCCAAGCGAGCCAAGCTAGATACCATGACGGGCAGGGAGACCACAACTGCTGCGACGGCGGACACGGCGATGATGGGGTACTTGATCCAGGGCTGGTCGCTGTCGAAAGTCGACGAGTTCTCTCCCAGGCGGATCTGTCCAAACTTGCCGTTCCAGTTGCGGTACACGTACCAGCCGATAATACCGGCCAGAGTAAACGGGATGACAACGGCAAAGAAAATAACGACGCCGGACGTGCCATGCTTCCTCTTGAAGTCTTCTTCGTGGCCCTTGCATGGATGTTCTGTTGACGTCTTGTCGAGCTCGTTGCCTCCACGACAGGTGGACAAGGGAACTCTACGGTAACCCGTGGGTTCAAAGTATGATGTCTCGTTGGGGTACTTTTCACACCAGTCGTCTCCAGTGAGGGGGGTGAAGCCATTGACCAGCTGGCACTGGCCATGATTGTCTAGTTCAAAGTTGAAATCACTAATGTTTGGTCAGTCATGAGATCATGTACACAGGTAAACGAAATAAGTAGAGGGTTGCTCTTACCATTCATAGTCTCGTCGGCTACAAGCGCAATCCTCATGGTCGTAGAGTCGCTGGAGATTCTGCTTATTGTAGCACTTGCGATCAGTCTTCTTACGTAGGTACTTGGAGACGTGCCCGAAGAGACAGTCGTCATCCTGCAAGGGATGCTTGGGAGACCACAAGTAATAATCAGAGTCGCTGGCTTTGGTATGCTCGCAGGGCTTGTCGGCCAAGCCACTAAAGTCGAGGTTGACGGAGAAAAGCTTGCCTCGACCGGATCTGCACCAAAGCAAAAAGTTGCGCGAAGTGCCGGACCGTAGGGTAGTGATGTCAAGGAGTGCCACATCCGAGTCGGCAAACTCCAAATTCTTCCAAGTATTGCCTTCGTCTGTCGAGTACGAGATAGAGCGGGACTTGACGGGGTTGTTACGCGTGTACCTTTGTGCCAGGACAATGATCGAGCCCTGATCTCCATACTGCCATGACCAGCTTCCCTTCTTAACATTCTTCCAAGAAACACCACCGTCAGTTGACATGAACGTGTCTGCGTTCTTAATCTCGCCAAGCTTGGACCCGACGTTGCCAATGCCGAAAATGAGACCAACGGCAGTAGCCGCGGCAAAAGTCTTTCTCTTGTCATCTCTCTCGGTATAGTGATGGAGATGCAAGGCACAAGACTCATCTCCCTTGGAGCTACTGCAAGGATAGGCCTTTCCATCCACATCCTTGGCGGGCGGGGCCAAGAAACCCCATTCGGAGCCGTCATTGTGAGAGATCTTGGTCTGGAGGTCCTTCGTCTTCTCTCCCTTGTTGGCATTTGTTACAATGTTGATCAAGGCGACACCCTCGAGGCCTGCGACCTTTTCAAAGTCGACATATGTCTCCTCGTTACAGTTGACGTTGGCGGCGCTGAGAACATATGACGTGCCGTTGGAATTGCTTTTGATGATTGAGCCATACTCCCGGTCAGAACCGCCTTCGGTGCGGACAAACAGGTTAATGGCATGGGTTGAGCTGTCAAGAAGCGTATACTCGTTCTCGTGACCTTCGTGGAAGTTGTACGGGAAGTGAGCCCTCTCAAAGTGCTTGCCGTCCAGACTGGCGAGAGCGTGCATATCTTCGGTTTCTGGATCTCTACCAGCCACAACAATGAATTCGCTCATGGTTGCGAAATTGGTAACGGAATCCTTGAAGATGGCCTTGTCCTCTTGGAAAAAGTCATCACTGGTCATGATGGTCAACGGCGCATCGTTGTTCTCTTCTTCTCTTGCAAGACAGATGACTTGCTTCTGCGACCGGAATTTGTATGCCGAGTGGCCAGTGAACTCACATCTCTCCGCAAAACGGAGCATTGTCTTCCAGTTATCGCCGCGATCAATCGAGATGGACGCCTCGGGGAAGCAGGTTTCTTTGCCTCCAACTTTGTCGCAGGTCTGGCCAACCCAGATGAGCCAGTCTCTCTTGTCTGGATGGAAGCTCAGCGGGAATCTATCACCGGGGTCTGTTGGTGCTTTGAAGCTGTGGAAGCTCTTGCCACGGTCAAGAGTATAAATGACCTTGTCGCTGCCGGTAGTGAAGTAAACCAGATCTTTGAGATATAGGTGGGGATAAATGCCCTGGATCTTCTCGCCCTCCAGGATGCGTTTGAAGCTCTTGCCATGATCACTAGATAGCCACAGCTTTTGCTCAATTTTCAATCGGCCGTTTCCTTCGTCCTCAGCGGGTCTGACAATCACGGTTTCGTCATCGGACTGACTAGAATCACTCCTGTCGAGGTAGATCTTCTGGAAGTCCTGAAGCTTGGTGTCGAAAATGAATTGTTTGTGAGTCACTTCTCCTCCATTTGCCGGGGTTCCTGGAACCGACGGAACGGTGGCATCCTCGCACTTGCGCTCGACCGGATCGTCCTTCTGTTCGCCCTTGGTCCGCTTGCAAGTGTTACCCGGGATGAGCCTCCAGCCAGAAGAGCCCTTGAAGGTTCCGGACTTGTCTTTGCAGGCACCATCTGGAGCCGGCAGTGGTCCGACTTTCTTGCATACTTTGTTATCCTCCGGGTCCCTCCTAAAGTTGTAATCACACTCAAAGTCCGCATCGGAGCACTCGCAGTCCTCAGTGATGGGAACGGGATCCTTGAAGTTACTCTTGATGAAGCAATCAGCCGACTTCTTTCTGCGGCGGTACGTCTGCTTGTGTCCCATGATACAAGTTGGCTTCCCATCGTCGTCCTCGCGGGCATGCCAGTCCTCGAGATCTTTATCTTCGCAAGTCCGCTTGTCCATAGCCCCAAAGTCAATAGCGATCATATGGTAGGCTCTGTCCTTTTCGCCAATGAGGAGAAACTTGAGACTGGTAGAGTCTTGCGTCGTTGTAAGGATCGCTGGTTTGACAGCGAGCTTGTCTGGCAGAGCGACTGATTCCCAGTGCTCGCCATGGTCCAGGGAATACGATATTTCAGAAATATCATCCTTTCTGGAATCCTTGACGGCAAGAAGAATCGATCCCTGGTCGCCGAATTCGTACTTGTGAGGTCCTTTCAAGGCCTCCTTCCACGTGATACCAGCATCATCTGAGACATACAGATTGGCATCTGCAAACTTGCCGAGAGCCTTGCCTGTATTTCCGTTGCCCATGACAAGGCCGGGGGCTGGGCTTGTGAAGACCCTCCCAGTGTTATCCATTTCGGTGACTGAGTGGAGGTGGATCTTGTCGCCATCGGCTTTGAGGGACTCAAAGGTCCTGCCATCGTCAAAGGAAATCTGGGTAACGACCTGTTTCTCGGCACCCTTCTTGTCGACATCAGGGCCATTCTCTACCACATTGACGATGAATACCCCCTGGATGCCATGGACTTTCTCAAAGTCGACATGTCCTTTACCGTTACGATTGGTGTAAGGGACGTTCTCGGTGAAGTATGTGCCATTGGAGTTACTTGTGAAAAGAACACCCATGGGATTTGAGGGTGAGGAGGTCAAGACGTCAATCTGGATACTGTAGTTTGTGCTTTCTAGAACAGTGTATGCCTCTTGGTTGATCTGGTGTGAGTGGTCGTGGTTGTCGCTGGTCGGGAACATGGCGCGGTGCCATTTGAGAGTGTCGTCGGTGACGTACAAGGCCATCTCGTCGCTCTGGAAGGACGAGGTAGCAACAAGGAGGTAGCTCTTGACGACAGCAATGTTTGCCACACCGCCCACTCCCTTGTTGGTGTCCATGTTGGGCTCGAATTCCTGAACCTCTTTGTTCACCACGGCGAAGAAATCGTCGGAGATGACGAGTCTCTGGTCTTCCACAAAGAGGGAGAAGGGATCCTTGATGATACAGAGCACCCTCTTCTTATCTAAATCCTTATCGCCGGTGGTGAACTCGGGAGATAGCTTCGCCCACCAACAGCCAGCTGTGAAGGCACGGAGCAGTTCGACCGACTTGAAGTTGTCTGTAGTGTAAGAGGCTTGCTCGTCGCAAAAGATGCCGTCGCACTCCATGCCGTTGAAGATGACTCGCTTCGGATCTTCTGCATGGAATACCAAGATCTCGGACTGAAATCGGCTGGGAACGGCTGGGGTCTCGAACTTGGACCAGGTCTCGCCCTGGTCCTCTGTCTTATAGTGCGTCTTGCCCAATGTCAGGGCATAGGCGATTTTGGAATCGTAAGGATGCGTAGTGAGCAAAAAGGCATCGCCTTCGGGAATTGCTTTAACCTTGGACCAATTGGCACCGGCATCACTGGACCGATATATGATGCCTGCATCGACGTCGTGGAAGACAACAATGTCGCTGTCTTCGAAGTAGGCAAGGCCCAATGGAGGGTGGTCGAACTTTGTGACTGAGAGCTTCGGCCCGTCCTTTGCCAGCGCCAATACCCATAGAAGGGACAGCAGCAGCAAGTGCCATGACGGCGCCGCAGCCTTGGCTGTGAGCCTCATCATATTGTCGGTGCGGTGCTTGGAGATGTCATGAAGCTAGACGTCTTCGTCGAGGGGTTTGTACGAGGGGCCTTGTCAATCGGGGTGTAAACGGCTGGCCGAATGGCTGTGATGAATCCCCGCAAGAGTGCGCTGCAGATGGAAATAGCCAAGGGAATGAAGCAGCAATCGCTATGCAACAGGCTCGCGCTCTCCTTGAAGCTCCTGGATCCAAGAGTTGCGTGTTTCGGGCTGGTTGCGAATCGTCGTTTGGGCCATTCGTCAGCTTGTGGATGAACGCTTACATGTAGGCTCCAGCTGTGGCGCCGCGCATTTTTGGCTGGGGCTGAGTCGCCACATCTGATGCCGCGGTGCCTCTTCCGGCCGGCCACGTCAATCAATACAAAGCTCGAGCTGTGGCTTGCCCGGAGCTTGTACAAGCTTCAGCCACACCTGTCATACAAAGCAAATATCGCCCTGTGCATTGTGTCTGACTACAGGCGGGAGAAAGCATATTTGTTCATGTTAAAAACTTATTTATTTATTTAATACCTTAGGTAATTTCATCACTCCGTAGGCCTTGGTACATGGTTAAGTATGACAATGCAAAGTCAATGCAAGGAAGTATTACTCCGTACTTGCCACTCCATGGGCAAGTGAACCAGCCCGCGCTAAATCGAGGATCTAAACAGCTGCATCGGTGTCTCGGCGCTGCCCTATCGATATGGAGCCTGTACTTATTTGTACATGGATGCGAGAGGCACGGGAGCACGACTCGACAGATGCAAGCGCCAAGTGCCAAGTTACAGGGACTGCGGCCTCATTCTCATACGGTAACTCGTACGGGTACGAAATACTGGCCTGCTGGGGCTTGCTACCTTGTTGCAATCGCCGTTTGCAGCATGGGGACAAGTGTTTGATTGCTTTGTACTACTTGGTCCGGTCTGTACACTACACCGAAGGCAGGGTGCGAAACTCCGAAGTGTTCGGCACTCAAATTGGCAGGCCGTGTTTCGTAGCCTGAGGTGCCTACATGAAGTGATTGATGTCTGGTGCTCTGTACAGTGTTTGTAGACTTTTGTACCGCGGCCGCATTCACAACACACCGGATGTCGACGATGCAGCCAATTGAGGCAGTCTAAGCTGCTTTCTGTCCCATCCATTCATGCGTTCTGACCTGTAGTGCTTAGAGTCTACCACAGCAAGACGCGTTTCTTTGGGCGCTGCAGATAAGGTGAAACACGGGTGGAGCGAAGATCCATCGCCAGGGGTCCGCATATTCCGTATTACTTGGTGCTTGAGCATGGGGCATTTCGCATCTATCGTGAACTGGCCTTGGTTGCGATTGTCGCGTTGGTGTACTTACTCTGTCCTCTGTACAATAGCAATTCATGTTATGGAGTATAAAATAGTCGCAATGGGTTGCCGTGCTCGTCCTGTCTGATATGACAGGCGAAGAATAAGCATGGATACATGTATGGTATGGCACTCGAATTCGAGGTGGTGGCTATCATCGATGGCCTGGTACCTGTGGTCTGTAGTTGGCTCTTCATATAAACTAGAAGTAGCAAACAAAACGTGATGATCGAGGTCGGTCGCGAGAGCAGCTTTAGTTGCCAAACCCATAGCTTGTTAAAGCTCAGGCCCTCTTGGAGCTCCGTGCCAACCTCGTCTATTGCACTTGTTCCCAGTGACGGATGCGCGGCTGGGGACAAATACGGATGGAGAACTGGGCTGGGGTATCGAAGCGAAAAAGTCGCTTGCTGATCCTGTGATGTCGCCAAAGGAAAGATTCATTTCAACCATTGTTTGATATTGCAGATTGCAGTATTCAGAGCCAAGGTGAGGTGGTGAGAGCCTACATTGAAGGGTCTTATCTGGGGGAGTTGGTGAGATTGAATGAATCAACGCCCCGTCACACGTGCTGGTACCGCACAAGTATCGCGAGGTACCTGCATGGACCTGCCCCTCCATTCAACCCGCGCTTTGCCCCTCGCTTTGCTGCGCGTCAATCGCGCCGTGACCACGGTTCGCCGGCAGATTCACCAATGAGACGGCGGGCAGAGTCAAGTAGACGTGCGTACCTGCGTGAGCCCTCCTGATTGATGCTGACGCTGGACTTGTTTGTCCGAGTGACCGTCCATGCTTTATGCGTGTCGCCGTTGGATCAATCCGTGGATGAGACGGGACCTGAAGAACAACATAAAGCACTGAGGTAGGTACAGTACATGCGCATGGGGTTTGAGAGAGAAAAAAAGTACCTGGAAGGACTAACCACATACAAGTGAGATGGACGAAGCAGCACCTCCATGATGTATACCTTGCCTTGTCATTGTAAGACCCTCGTACAGAGACATCCATAAGCATTCTTGTAATTCAATATCCGCGGGTATGGTATGGGTATCGCTGCAATCAATTGACAAGTCCTCGCATCCACGCAAAGAGCATGAAAGTAACAGCCCCAAGCCGGGCCTAGAGAAAAGGCTTCTGGGAGGCCCCTCCCCTTGTTGCCGCAAGTTCGCGGTCGCCATGCGTCCTTTCATTTCATTTACTTGCTACAGCCGTTTCTACAGGGGCCTTCACCCTAGACGGCTAGAAGCAACAGCGCTGCAGGACTGGGGCGCGCTTCACTGATTCAAACTGACCCCAAACCAAACCAAACCAAACTGGACCGCATTGTGTCCTCCTCAATCGAGACAAGCCACATGAACCCCCGCCGACTTAGCGGTAGCTTGTTTTGATCTGCTCTGCTCCCTCCGGCCTGCAGATTCAAATCGTACTTGTACCCTTACCTGTCCCGTCTGGTCTGGAGAGAGCTTCGTTTCGTTTCTTTCTCTCTTTTCCTTGACGGCTCGTCTCGACTGACTGCTTCGCTCGTTTGCATCTCTCGCGCCATCAGCGTCCTTGCCGCGAGTGATCTGGACACAGCACCATCATAGACAGCGCAGTCCTTCGTTGCCTCAAGCGCATCGTATCACATTCTCGACACCGTATCTCACCTCTTCTTCTCTTCTTACCTGCCCTCCCGCTCTTCCTCTTCTCGCGTTGCTCTCGCGCCCAATGGCTGCCACTTACAAGCAGTTCCTGGCCTCGCCCAGCTCGTCCCTGCTGGCCAACAATGCCTCTCTTCACTATGTGACCACGCTCACGTCCTTCGTTGGCGCCACCGAGATCATCAAGCACCTCAACACCTTGCAGAAGCAGGTCAAGAAGAAGCAGGAGGACGTCCTCAGCCTGATTGACGGCCAAAATGTCATCGCTGTCGAAGTTGATACTTGTATCGAGTTCGTCACCAGCGGCGGGGCCTACCTGCCAGGTCTAGACGACAACTTCCTCTCCGATCGCGAGGCTTTTCTGCCCATTGTGAGTCTCCAAGTCCAGCATAACCACCGTCGCACTTTACCTAGCCACTCTCCTCTGGTATCGACACCAAGGTGTGCGTTTCGTGGCTAATTCCATTGCTCTTGGCGCAATCAACAGATGCATATTGTGTCGTTCGATGACGATGGCAAGATTGTCCAAATCCGCCAGCAGTGGGACCAAGGTTCGCTTCTCAAGCAGATGGAGATCATCGGAAAAAGCGGACGCAACTGGCCTATCAGGGATGGCAAGGAGCAGGTCAGACTGATTGAATCTTGTGTCAAGTCGTCCGGTTTTGCAGCCCCTGCTCAAGCTTCAGCTCCAGCTCAAAGCAGCAACGGCCATAACAAGAACCGCAACAGCTCGACCAACATTATGCGCGACCCTCATGCTTCTCTGCATCTCTTTGGTTCCAGAGAAGAAGCTGAGAATGCCGAGCCTGCGGGTGTTGTCTCTCCCTATGCCGGCGCAAAGCCCAAGCAGCGTGCCTTTACCGACATTTTGACCGACGAACCCCAGCACTGGGATGACCACCAAAGACGCTCGATGTCGCCCCACAAGATGAATGCCGGCAAGAATGTCCAACCCATTCGCATTTTTGAAGGACAGCAACACCCCGAGGATGACTCTGAGGATGATGAAAAGCCTGAGAGATACATTCGCGCCCACCCGGCGAAATACCAGCACTTCGCCTTGGCTGATGGCTCTGAAGAGAGTGAAGGCACCCAAGCGAGCCAAGTCAGTTCGACAAAGCCCGCCGCTAAGGCCCCGAGACCCAAGTCTAAGCATGACAGCACTTGGTCCTTTGACGACTTCACCACCCCTGTCAAGTCGAAACCCGGCCGTGGTCAAGGAACTAACCCCGATGCGCGCAACTGGGATGCAGGGGAGACTTCTGAGCCAGTCAAGGCCCCGGTTGGAAAGGCCCGACGCGATGCTGAGACCCATTTCGAGTTGCAGGATGACGGTGAACTTCCCCCCGAAGAGCGACGCATCGCCATTAGGACCAGAGGCGCGGTTCGCAACGAGAACGCCAAGAACAATGTCTTTGAACGGGAAGCGGAAGATCCCTCCAACCGTCCCCTTGGCAACATCACCAATGTCAGCAAGGACCGGGGCAAGGATTTTGACCCTCACTTCACCATGACGGACGATGCTCCCGCTCCCGCTGCGGAGCGCCAGCCCGTTCCCGAGCACCGCCAGAAGGCCGTCAAGACGATGAACGCGAACTGGTCCCTTACGGACGAATCACCCGCCGTGCAGAAGGAAAACAAGCCAGTCGGCAAGTCGCCGCAGCCCGATACCAAGATTCACATTGCCGGCGACGGCATGGGAGGCAAGAAGGGTGCCCAGCGAGACTTTTTGTACGGAGGCGAGGACCCAACCAGCTCCAAGATTCACATTGCCGGCGATGGCATGGGAGGCAGGCAGGGCACCCGCAGGGACTTTTTGTTTGGGGGCGACGAGGAGCCTGAGCCGCCCAAGCAAATTTCTCGGAAAGGAGGAGCCCCCCAGGGCGCGCAGAGGAGCAACTTCTGGAACTAGTAAATCATACATTTCATTTTCTTGATTCTGCGACAAAGATTGTTACTGTTTCCCCCCTTGTTTTCCTTTTTAAAGTTGTTAGAGTGGAGAGAGAGTGCGTTTGATGGAAGAAAGAGAAACAAAAGAGTTTGCGATACCCTGGGCGCTAGTATGTATGATTTAATGCCCTGCAGGACGCAGCTTATGATTCATGAGTCTTTTTTTACATATTATATATATTGTTTTATGTCTTTAACTTGCTTCTCTACGCTCTTCTTGTCTTTCCTCCCTGATGACTATCGCCAGGGATTGTTGTTCTTTCGTTGATCTGTTTCTTTCCGTACATGTTGCTCGTCTTGGTGCCCCTTAAAAACGGCCCTAGCTATTTATTTCACCTGCCAGATCAAAGTGTATACAAGACTGTTCTAGACAGAATAATTGTCTCCAGTATACATTTGCCACAGTTCAATCATGTTACGAGTTTTAGAGTAGATGAAAGCATGTTTTACATCGTAATATTGACGGATTATATTTGATATAAGGTAGATATACTCAAAATTGAACACACATTTTCGGTCTCTGACGAAATTCCAAAACGCCTTGCTAGATAGATCAAACTGTAAAACCCTCGAACAAGAATAAACAAGTCCCCCATATCACTTAGATAGGTAGGCACTGTTGCAAGAAAGGGGAATAAAATGCCAAGATTTTAACACAGCCATTTGTAGAACCTCTTCCACTTGGGCCAAGTCTCCCACTCTTCCTTCTCCTGCTGCACGAGGATGGGGACGTTAAAGTCTCTTCTACCGGTATCAATGTCCATGTCTTTGATCTTCACGTAGTTCGTGCGGTAGTAAATCTTATGGCCTAAGAAGAAGATGAGGACGATGGGAGCGCCCATCCACTTCAAAAAGAAGTTTTCGGCTTGCGACGCCGGTGAACCGGTCTTACCCTGCGAGGGGATGGGAAAGGCGCCGACCCAGAACTGGGCTGCCAGGACGCTGATGTTGAGGGCGAGGCCGACGTAGGAGCCCATGACGCCGACCTGGGACTGGAAGGGGAGGTCGCTGGGGACGTGGCCGCGGGCATGCCAAGTGCGTCGGAAACGGATGTGGCAGAGGCAGATGGAACCCCAGGTGAAGATGGATGAAAGGCCCGAGATGGCCAGGAGCCAGTCGAGGACCGAGTTTTGCTGCTTGAGATCGGCGAGGTAGGCCAGCAGGCCGAAAGCTCCAGCCACCATGATGGCAACAAGGGGTCGTCCCCGCTGGTCGACGTAGCCGAGAATCTCAGGGGCCTGGCCGAGATTGGCGAGGGCGGCGAGGGTTCGTGAGGAACCGAAGACGGCCGAGTTGCCGACAGACAAGACGGCGACGAGGATGACGGCGTTCATCACCGAGGGGAGGACGTCGATGCCGGCTGACTCGATGGCAATGACGAACGGCGAGGCGTGGGCGTCCGCGTTGCTGGAGCCCATCAGATCTGGGTCATTGTACGGCACGAGCAAGCCAACCAGCGTCAGGGCGACAATGTAGAAGAGGCTGATGCGCCAAAACACCTGCTTGATGGCTGTCGGGAGCGACTTTCTCGGGTTTGCCGTTTCGGCCGCCGCCAATCCGATGAGCTCGGTCCCGGTGAAAGCAAACGCCGCCGTGACGAAGACGCTGCAGAGACCCTTGAAGCCGTTGTGGAAAGCGCCGGGATTGTCCCAATACTTGCCGCCGATGTATCCGCTTGTAGGAGTTCCGCCGAGGTTTAAAACGATGCCGAGGAGGCTATGGCATTGTTGGTTAGCGAATGGACGATACGACGTGCTGTCAGGCTTTGCTCAACTTACATGAAACCAATGACGGCAACAATCTTGATGAGGGAAAATGTAAACTCGGCTTCACCATAACCTTTAACGCCAAACATATTGATGGTGATGATGCAGACGATGAATACGGTGACGAAAATGGCCCTTGTGAGATGACTATCCCAGAAGCCAATGGTTAGAGATGCTGCAATAATCTCCAAGGGCAGGATCGTCAGCCACTGCATGGCGTAGCTGGAAAGAGGCAATAGTTAGCAGCTGTTGGACATCATCATCAAGAACATAGGAGGATGACCTACTTCCAGCCCAAAGCGAATCCCCAAGAGGGGTCAAGGAAACGGGTAGCCCATGAAGAGAATGAACCGGCAAGAGGGTATATGACTGCGAGTTCACCCAGCGCCTGACATGTGCAGTACAGCATTCCGCCGACGATGGAAAAGGCCAGCAATAGGGACGCCGGGCCACCCGCAGCCAGCGCTTTGCCGGATGCCACAAACAAACCGGTACCTAGACGCGGGTTAGCAAGGCTACTTTGTAGATAATGACCGTAACGGCACGAAGGGGTTGAAATGAATGGTTGCGCACCTATAGAGCCCCCTATAGCAATCATCTGCAAATGGCGGCCCTTGAGCTTCCTCGACAGTCCGTTGGAATGCGCCGTCGCCAGCGCAGCCCGGCGCAAGTCGTAAAACGGCGAGCCATTGTTGTGTCTCCTGACGCTCTCGAGCGGGCCAATGTCGTCGAGGTCTCTGCTGGGGAAGAACTTTGAATTCGGGTCGCGTCTGAAGCTGTTGATGAAGCGGTCCATCCGCGGCTCCTTGACATCGTCGTAGTTTGGCTCCCGCATGCTGTAGGAGCTTCCGTGAGTCAGCGACTCCTCCTTGATCTTGTAGTTGCCAAACGGGTTGAGCTCAATGTCTCGCGGCGGCGCCATCGCTGCCCTTTTTGCGCGCGAGGGTAAAAGGGAGCGGGTCGCCGGCAATCGATAAGACCGGCGGCGAAGGATGACGATGCGATCAAAGCGTTTCCGGGGGTGTGAGAGAGGCGTTTGTCTTTGTGTGTATTTGTAACTAAGGTAGGGAGTAAGGTATGTGGTAATATAAGCAGTGACCTCCAACTGGTAATACCGTAAGTCGTCGTAGTCGTTTGCTATGTTACGAGGTCGAGTCGAGGAGAGAAGGGGAGAGAAAACCGGCGTGTGTCTCGAGTTAATTCGGGGTGTCGTCGCCTCGGCTCGAGATACCGACTCGCAGAGCCAGGGTGTTGAGTTTCCCTGCCATGCACATGCAGATGCAGAAGCTCAAGAGTTGAGTGCGTGAGTCTGCATGGGCAGCGTCACACGCATGGATGGTCGTCACCAATGGGAGCGGCAAGGTTGTTCCCGGTAGTGTAGCAGTACAGTAGCAGTGACAAGAAAGAAAAGAGAGAGTTTGACACTTGGGGGGAACTTGTAAATTAATAAAACGGCCTAGCAATGGGAAGGGAATAGTAAGAATCAGAGAAGAGGTGGATAACGGCCATGGAAATGGCTAGAGGAATTAATGGTGGTGCCTTTTTTATCTTGTCGGACAAGGGGTGGCGCAGACGAGACAAGGCCTGGAATACTGTACTCGTAGTACATGGTGAGAGATGGCGCTCACATCAGGGCTGGCCGTGGCGCTGTTGATCCTGCCACGGCTCTACTAACACGACAGATGTACAGCTACTTGACATTCAGCGTTGGAAGTGCGACAAAGAGATGGGAGGGCTGAAAGGTTGCTGCACGGCATCGGCCTTTGTGTTGACGGATGCATGCGCGAGTACGAGTAACAGGTAACAGGCAGATAGATCTGATGCTAATCGGCTTCCCAACCCAGCGGGATGCGACGTTGGGCTGCCTCGGTTACCGTGCCAGTCGAGAGTGCAAGGATGCAGCGCTACTGCAGCAATGCGATTCCCACGGATGTCGTTTGTCGAGCGGCTGTTATCTGCTGCCAATACTGTAGCCCAAATGACAGACACTTTGCTATCATCTCCACGGCCTATCATACACCCAATCCAATGCCTATCCATGCACGGTAAAATAAACAAAAAGAGACTTGTGGTAGCGCCAACAGCTGATGCTCGTGCGCGATGCCATGCGATGTGACTCCAGAGCAAAACGGGGAAGCATGGCGTTGCATCTGCCAGGGTCGAAACTGGGGCGAGCGCTGGAATCAGGTGGGGTGGAGACGCCGATAAGGGGACCACCAATGGCTTCAAATTAGCCGGCAACAAGGGACCAGAGACACTCAAGTAAAACGTGCAGAGTATCGCAAGTGCTGTATCGTTGAGCCTCACTCATCCATCCATCTGACAGCGCAGTTCAATCATCACATTTGTAGCAACTACTTAGCCTATACCCATCATCACAGCGTGTGATCAGTAACTTGCAGTCCAGCAGCCCCCACTGACTCGCCCCAAGAAATTCGCCTCATAATCCAAACGCCTCGTTCGCTAAATCCAGCACGCGATAACGCCTGATCCCAATCAACGGGTGAAAGCCACCAGTAGCGGTCCGGGCTTACAGGCCTTGATCCGTGGCCCCTAAACCGCCTGCTGTCAGCATTCCTCCACGTGGCAAGGAACGCTCTTCCCCGCCTCATTTTAATGAGAACATTCAGGGACCAGGCCTCGATATTCCGATTCCGCCATCGATAACATATGAGAGACTACAGGAAGTGCTACTGCTACCAATCCTGCAGTCATCCTAGCCGGTGACCTATGTTGCAGCAGTCATCAAATTACAGAGACTGACACATGATAGATGGTAAGCAAAGGATAATCAAGGTCATACATGTCGTACTTTATATACCTAGATGCCTCAGGTAGGTTATAGAGATACGCGTCTATACATATTCAACGCCAACATAAACCGATGCTGCAACGCCAAACACTACAGTACTTAGTAGTTATGCTCAATATAATATCATTGATGCCCACTCCCACCCCATCTTCATTCACATTCATCCAACTCTTTGGTCAGTCGTCTTGGGCGTCCTGGCGATCGAACCCGGAGGCTTTCGCTTCCATCCAGTGGAGAACAACGGTCCCATGTCAAACCTGGGGAACGGATGAGCTTCCGTGTTCAGCACAATCTTGTCCAGTGGCAACAAGTCGTTTGGCGAGAAGAGGAGATACATGTACTTGAGTGTCTCAGCCTGAACAGAGAGCATGCACGCGTTAGTGACCATAAGCTCATGATGAGGAAAAGGGGGCATAAAAAAAAGATGAGAAACTACGCGACTTACCAGCCAGAAACTTTCCATATTATCCTTGACCGTTGGCGGGATGGTGTTGGCATCAAGCAAGCTCGTGAAGCCCCCTTGGTCCTCCACCGCAGTATAGTTGGCGAATGATCTAAACATGTCC